GCGGCTATCACTCGAGCGAACGATTCCCATTCGACATATATATATATTCCTATATCCCATCTTCATACTGCCTGGTACTGCCTATAATGTATATATGCTACGGTGGACCTGGAGGTTCTTATCTCTGCTACGGTGGAACCGAACAGGGTAGATTTCTCCTAAAGGTTCTGCTACATGCTAAAGGTGGACCATCTTCCCCAGTTGGCCGCAAGGTGCAGCACTTTCGAAGCGGTCTTACGAGAGAACAAAGGCATGGCATGAGCACTCTCAGTTTCTCTCTGCTGTAACTAACGGACTCAGTTGTCCTCGAAAGCTCTTATTGTACGGATGCAATTAAGACACACATTGTATTTCAAATAAATTCCTTTTATTCGTTGAGTTTAATAAGTGTTAAGTTCTACATATCTCGTAATAACATGTTACGTACGCAAGGATAGAGATTCAAATTCGCATGAAGGACACTGATTAATTGAAAGATTTTTTTTTTATTAAAGCGTTTAAAACATCAAGGAGGTTTATTTCCACTAGATTCTTTTATTTTACAAATTTTAATCGTAGTGTCGTAAGATAGAACTCCTCAAAGTAAACGTAAAATTCCTTATTACAACACTGAACAGAGTTTCCAGCTTGCAAAATATTATACCTTACTGAATATCGCTATTCCACTGATTACAAAAAAGGTGTATAAATATAACTGATCAATGTTTCTACATACTCCTTATTGTTTGTAATATATCACGTTTGTAATTGTATCTTCAAAAAAACTTGAATAAATAAAAAAATAAGGAATCATAAATATTCGATGGAATAGTTTACAAAATGTAACTGATTTGAAAATCCATAAAGGAATCTTGAATTAAGTATTAAACGAACAAGTGATAAAATCAATTAATCACTGTCTTTAGACTCTGCGTCGCTAGAAGGTGGAGTAGTTTCAATAGGTTCCTCGTCACTACCTTCGTCCGATTCGTCCTTCTTACTTTTCTTAGCCGTCTTCTTCTTCTCATCATCCTGAAAAAAATACATATAATATTAATTGAAATAATAATTAATCGAAGCATCGATGAGATAATAGTGAAGTTACCGCGCTGCGTTTTTCTGCCTTCTTATTCCTCTTATTATCATCACTGTCTTCATCGGATTGCTTTTTTGCCGATTCCTGTACAAACATTCGATCAACGACAAAGTCATATGCATAGCCTCGATCTAACGAGGCTTCAGTATATTTATATACCTTCTTGTCATCGTCGCTACTACTATCATCCTCGCTAATATATTCTTTGCTCTTGAAATTAGGCCCGGTCATCAATTTACTGGGAGATTCTTTCTTGGTCTCCTTCTTCTTTTTCTCACCCTTCTCCGGTTTCTCCTTCTTTTCTTTCTCTTTCCCGCCACCGCTAGCTTCGTACTCCTTCATCGACGCAGCGTAATCTTTCTTTGCCTTAGCCGCTTTCTGTTCCCATTCCTGCGAGAGTAGATAAAACATTAATATTTCGAGTTCGTACTAAAAGCAGGTGCAGCAGATAAACGATCGCAGCCTTACAGATTTATCTTTAAGTTCCCTCCACATCTCACCGCCCTTTTTCGCTATTTCCGTAACAGCGATACCAGGATTATCTGCCTTAATTTTGTCTCGCGCGCTGTTCAACCATATCATAAAAGCAGTCGGCGGTCTCTTGGGTTTGTTCGCGTCTCTCTCCTTCTTCTGTTTCCTAGGCTTTCTCGGTTTCTCCGACTGAACAAAATAATCGTATTGTTGATTATAAGGAATTATAAAAGAATTCATAATGTAGATACTTGCCACAGTCTTGGCGGATTTCGATTTCTTTTCCTTCTTCTCCTTCTTGTCTTTCTTTTGACTCTTCTCGGATGCGTCGGAATCATTTTCACTATCCGAACTATTAGGATTACTGTCGTATTCCTCCGCGACATCGCTTTCATCCTAAATTCATTTTATATTGAATATATGTTCGCAATGCAATTAGTAAAATTTCAATAAAAAATTATACTTGATTAGGATTGAAGTCTTCGTCGGTCGACTCCTCTTCGGAATCCTGATTGTCTTCATCTCTTTCTTGGGCCTCGGCTTTGACTCTCGCTAGGTAAGCATCCGGCTCATCTTCTTGATCACTGTCTCCAAAGTCGTTGTCATAATCCAGTTTGTCCTATCACACAAACGAGACTTTGAGTATACTGAAAAAAATTTGGTTCAGACAGGTTATAGATATACTCACGCTTTTGCCTCTGTTTTTGACCCTAAGTTTTTTGGAGGTAATGAAGTCAAACAGCTTTCCATACTCCTCTTTTTCAATGTTGCTAAACGTGTGCACCACACCACTGGTCAATTCAATCTCAAAGTCGAACGACCTGGTGGACCCTCCGCTACGAGCAAAGTTCACCGACGCGATTTCCTCGAATCGTATGTGAATCGGCGGCTTGTGCACGTAAATAAAACCTCGCTCGAGAGGGTATAAGAAACCTGCCGCGGCTTTGAAGGAGCAGGTAATAGCGAGAGTTCCGGAATGGCTAGAAAATGAAATGATCGTAACGATATCCCGTGAAAGTATTTTTACATCGACCAGTTCGAAATTTACCTAACGAAGTTTCCAGGTCCTGTAAGTTTCCTGTTAATTATCACTTTCATTATCTTCCCCAAAACTTCGTATGTCGGACCGGACAATTCCTTCGACAACTTGTCCTCGTACTTTTCCTTCAATTCTTTCCTATAACAATATGCACATCGTTTTAAATGTTTATATCGTACATTATCGAAACTGATTAACTAAATTTCGATACGTACTCGGAAAATGGTAATTCGATCGAAGTTTCTTCTTCGGCACTGAACAGTAATACTAGATAATGGTAACGTGTTTGACCTTGCTTGATCGGCGGGTCTAAACTGACCTAAACAAGACAGTATCAAAATCATTACGTGTATTAAGAATAAAAATAATTATTAGAGACTTACCACAAAGTACATTTGCCTGTTGTCCTTGTGTGGTAAGAGGAACAGCCTTAGAACCGTAGACATTGGAATCTTATAATCGAATGTTTTACCATGCAATTGGAAGAATGACTGAAATATCTTTATGTCATAACGACCACTGAAATAAAATCGTGTTAATTTAATATCGATCAAAGCTGAGACACATAGTCCTTGAATATAAATACATACCGAGGTGTGAGACATTGGACTTCTCTAAATATGGCAATGGCATCTCCGCTGACGCTGATAACAGATGCCTTCTCCATAACTTGTTGATGGAATGCTTCCACAGGATCTTGATCCATGCTATCGCTGACTGGTATATGAAATCTCATTTCCATTAAACTTACAGGGGCGTCATCATTCTAGAATACGGATTATAATATGCTTATCTTTCATCAATTAAAACTTGAGCAATGTCCTAATAAACAGTATTCTACCTGATGAAATTCCAATGTAACTTCGTTTTTCCCAGTGTTACATTGAGAAACATTGTACAATGGAATTTCGAAAGCAGTATGATGCCCAACATCGAAACTCAGCACAGAACCATTGAACCTGGCTGTGCCCCAGTTCCAACCCTTTAAACTGAGCTCTTTTTCCAGCATGTCTTTCTTATAATTCTGTGCAAAGAACTTTGCAATTTTCTCCTGATCCTAAAGAAAGATTACATATACATGAATCATATTCTTGAAATAAAGTCGAAGAAACTTCATATTTAGCAAAGTTACTTACACCGTCTTTGAAACCACGAAATCTGTGTAATGTGCCATTTTTAAGGAATATTCTGAGGCCCCAAGTACCAATGAATTTCTGATAATTCACCATGTCTATGTCTGATGCTGAAATTTGTTCCACTTTCCCTGTCTTTTGATTCTTGAAAATCAGGTGCTGATCTGTTAGTTTTAATCGTCCGGGAGTCTAAAGAGAAAGATTCAGTTAGAGGAATAACTGATAAAACATTACAAATACCCTTAAAAATAAGTAGTCATCACACAACGAATATAATTGACAATAGATATGATGTGTACATAATAGATTTCTAACCCGAATACCATCGAAGAATTAACGATTGAGAGACATAAGTAAAATTTGATACAACAGTATACTGAAAAGATTGTCACATGTAATTAAATAAAAAAGATATATTTTAATTACCATAGCTCCCTTCACTTCTGCAATTACATCGGTGTATTCTAAGAAATCCATCTTCGAAACTACTTGAATTAATTCGTTTAATCAAGTCCTCTTTTATCTTCTACAAACTAGGTGCATAACATTAAAATAAAAATGTTCTCAGTTAATCACGCTTTTTTTCTAAATGCACGAGAACGACACGTTGAAATAACACAGCAAACAAGCTTTCTGGCGTGGTTTCTTTACATCAATCAGGTAATGCGCGCCATATTTCTTAATATACCTTTAATACATATGTATACTCATTTCAAAACATTTTTTGCAAAGATGATTGGTCGAACTCAAATTTTAACGAATAATACAAAATATGAAAGAGGTATATTCTTTTATTCCTCTATCATTATCCATATATAATCATCGCTGTTTTTACGCAATAAATGATTTACAATCTGAATAAATCATTTTATATTCCAAAGAACTTAGCTTAGGATTAGGAGTCGTTGTTGGAAGGATTGAGAGTGGGGATCGAGTTACTTGTAGTTGTGCTTACGCGAAACTTTAAACATTTGCAATTCGGAATACAATAAGAATGCCTGCGACGACGCTACATAAATTTATAACTTTCATAGGGCTGATGTCAATATTACACACAGCATACTCAGCTGCCCAACGCACGTATCATTTCCTTTTTCTTAATCTCGTTTTAACAATTCGTAGGTTACCCTACTTGTGTCTACTCACCGAATATCATTTACAGATCGGTCATACTTACGAATAACAGAACAAGAATTCATAGCTCTGCCCATTGACGTAAGTATTCGTCGACCGAGGTATTTAAATCATCAAAAATATTCAAACTAACATGTTTGCTTTACAGATTTTGATTCAAGGCATCGTTAGCTTGTTCATGGTCATGTATGGAGTAATGTACATCGCCGGTGACTTCAAGGAAATACGGGCAGTGGTTGATTTAGAAAACAAATCTTGGGAGACACTAAGGAATCTCCCGTCGTTCCAAATATTCAGTCACCGTGGGAGAGCCTTGTCTCCCCAATATGCACAGTGAAACTTAAAGCTTTGTTGTTACTTTCCAAGAAGACACAATAAATTGATATGACTATTTAAAAAGTAATTTCCTGCTTTGCACTGATGCATCAGATGGACTTAATTCAAACGTTGTTTATTAACGATTTATTTATACACGAGTGTATGGAACGAGCAAAAAAAGACGGAGCAGTGATATGAATTTTAGACCATGTATTTAAAAACACGTGTGAATATACATGTTATGGTTTCTGTAAGCGCAACAGTAAAGTACAAATAAAAGGTGTATTAGAATTTTGTTTCTCATCCGTGGAATTTATATTTATTTCACCGATAAGTAAATAGTAAAAGTGTAACTCTATGTAAAGACATCACTTTTTCTGCTTCTTCTTTTCAGCCTCTGCTTCCTTTTCTCTCTCAATTTCATTCACGTATTCTTCAATAGTATCTGCATCCAACATCTGTGGAACAAAGAATATTTGAAAACATATTCATTTGGTTTCTACTGGATAAAAAAAAAGAGATCAAGGTGTGTACCTGAAGAGGTTGACCGCGTCGCATTACCGCGATTTCTAAATTCTTTTTGCCTGATTGTACTACTTCTAATAAAGCTTTAATAGCTAGTTTTATGGTTCCCTTCTCTGTAGCTACTTCCTCTGACGTATAATACTTTTGTAAAAATTCGTGAACCGTCTTTGCATTTCTACCAGTTGCATTAGCCTTTAAAAGATGAGTGCATTTTATTCTCTGTTCAGGAATGACATTCTTCGATCGACAAACAATATATGTACCTTCCATTCGTAATAAATGCCTGAAGGCTCTGTCTGGTACAAATGTGGGATGCCGTCGTAGTCAAATCCAGCCAAGAGGCAAGAGATTCCAAAAGGTCTTCTACCATTACTTTGTGTATACTTTTGCTTTAAACCTAAAGGTTTTCATTGTTTATCGCATCCATACATATTCATTTCATCTGCGATACTTACCTGCAATATACCTAGTTATATACTCCAATGTAACTGGATCTTCCACGGTTAATCTGTGACTCTGACATTCGACTTGTGCACGATCAATTAACACTCTCGCGTCTGCTGTCAGGCCTAGAAAAATGTAGAAACCAAATTAGGAGTAGAATGTACTTATAAAGTGGAGTCGGTAATGGATTATCTGAGATTACGATCGAACCTGCGAAAGCCATTACGACGTGTTCATCTAAAAGACATATTTTACGAACTGTCCGCTCTTCTTGAAGCTTTGCAATCGATTTCTTTTCAACTCCTAAAACGACTACATCGGTACCACGTACGCCGACCTGAAACAAACGATTTCAACACTTCCTCGAAACAGAATGTGATTGGGGATCAAACATTGTTCCGATCTGCGAATTCGTCATTCAAGTAGACAGTAATATAATCGTACAACTTTCCGTGCAGGGGACAGAGTATTTAACGCGAAATTTATACATGGAAACTCTGCAAGCTCACCGCAAACAATTAAAGGAAGGTTAGACGAAACATTTTACCGTACCGCGGAGGAACCTTTTCTAACAGCTTCTTGGGCATATTCCACTTGAAGCAGGTGACCGTCCGGCGAAAATACCGTGATAGCTCTGTCGTATCTCGCTGACATCGTTTCCAACTAATAAAAGAGCAGACCTCACTGTTTGATTCACTAGCGGAATGAAATGACTTGGCCGTTTTTCAAAATGATCGCTTCTCATACTAACACTAACTTATACTCTGCCGACGACCGGGCCGACGGTCCTGATTCAGTTTCTTACCAATAGAGGGTACATTTGCGCGCTTCACTTTCCTTTATTTTAACATTCACAACGTTGCGGTGTCTTCCGAAAGGTAATATAATAGACCTGTTTACCTGCATTCCAACACAGCCAATTATTTCTTTCATCTTTTTACCAAGGATTTACAGAACTCCTTGTTAACAAGAGCAATTCATCATCTCATCTATTTGATTATTTCCTTATTTTTATATTAATGAATATTTAATCCTTGGTTTTATTTTCTTAGATTTCTTTAAGTTTTATTTTCTTCTAAGGAATAGGATTTATATTTACTGGGAAGTAGACATAAATTTTTATCGTTTTATAATACTTAATCCGGATCACTCGATAAATATTCGTAACTGGAGAAAGCGCGCTCAAGATTATAGTGGACAGGTTTTTTTTAAAATACTTGAGTTGTGATGCAAGCATATAAATTTGATGCTAAAATAAAACTCGCGCAGGCGAATTGTTTATAAAATGAATTGAAATCTCTAATCTTTTTGAGTGGCAATAAACGGGGATCGAAAGGGGATTACAAGTATTGATAACGTCGAATGGGAAACGGTGACGTATTGGCTCGAAAGTAAATGAAGAAATTACAAGTATTCGATATTGTGAATTAAATAGAGTAGTGGGGATGAATAAATAGAATCTATTGTAGCTAGTATAAAAGGCAACGATCGACACAGTGAAACGTTCAGTCAAGGTTGTGCGCTCTCTTACCGCGTTTGTCTATACAGCATGATCGGGTTGGTAGAAGACAAGTTTCTTTTCTTTTCCTTTTTTTTCGTTACAATAGATTTGCATCGCCGCCTCTATCAATTGTTACACAGTGTTTCGTTCTGCATTTCAAATGAAATAGTTAATCATTTAATACCAAATTGTCCGTGTTGGATCGCCAGTAGAAGTGTGTTACATTCGATGATTGTTAAATCGTGCAATTTGCCATAAACGAATAAATTCTTGCATTTATATGCAATTGAATTATGTAATGTATAATGCAACACGTTTCTCATCTATATTCGATTAATATTGAAAACTGCGTCAACTGGTAAGAGTTAGAACAATTAATTGCCACCGGAGTCATCGCAATTAATTGGATCCCATGAAATTGATTCGCTTCACAATTAAACACACGTGTTTTAAAAATGAAACGACCAATAATAAGCTGTTCAGTTTCTGGCAAACCCGATACGTCATGCTTCAGCGATTAGCGCGTCGCTAATTGGCAGAATAGATAAGTCATAAACTATTTCCTCATTGTTAAAAACGAGTTTTGACGCATGTGTATTAATTATAACTATCACAATACTACGAACACAAGGAGAATTATTGCCATATCGGTATTAACGGCCTGTTGCACAAATGTACACTGTAGTGTCATCCATTTCACAATTTTTGCAACTAATCATTGATAGTACAAGTTGTTCGAGATAAGCTAATTCATAATTACGAGATTGAGTGTTCCGATTAAGATTAAGAAAACTATTATTAAGCAATTTACTAATGACTTACGTACATCCATAATCCATATTAAAATACTCTGGTCCCCTTTATTTTCTTGAACCGTAACGATTACCGCGCTCCATTGCAACTTAAACTACCTTGAACAGAATTGCAGTTCAATTCAGGGTAAAGACGTACACACGACGACGCATCGGAAAGAGTTATATGTAAATTAATCTGAAAAGTGCAACGACGTGTAGTCACTGGAAATTATGAATTAATCGAACAATTTCGCGTTGCACATTGAATCGAGACGATCGACGATTCACATGTGCAACTGATTCGGAAATTCGGGGGGTCGATGCGTGCCGATTTTCCATCATTAATCCCTTGACCCATATTCTGTCCGAACGACGACGCGTCAACCTCGAGGATGTTGACGTCTAAATATTTTCTCGCCAAATCATTTTGTGAGATTGATACGACCGTTCGTTTGCACGCAGACTAAGCAGGCGAAAGCTTTTAATATCTGGGGTGAGCATCGGCATCATTTTAGCTGCGATCATAGCAGTTATATTAATCGTTTCCCTCGGTAACAATGATTCAGAAAACGAGAACACCAAGAATGCTGCATTGTATCATGGAGTCTACAAAAAGGTAAAATAATTAAGATAAGAATGGAGCGAAACGGCACGACTTCTGGGCCGAGCCTGATAAAATCTGTTCACTCCGCGTTTGATAATTAATTTGTCTTGGCTCGCAAGGCTGCGGTGTCTACGAACGGACCAGAATGCGCTCATATCGGAGCTTCTATGTTAGCCAAGGGTGGCTCGGCCGTCGACGCGGCTATTGCTGCCCTCCTATGCGAGGGAGTCGCCTCCTTGCACAGGTAAATCGACAGGAACGATCTCAAATAATATTGTTCATTTAATCATTTAATTGAGATAATATGTTTCTTTAATCTTTACCTCGCTCTACTTGAAATCAAAGTATGGGATTGGGTGGTGGATTTTTAATGACCATCTGGGACGCGAATACTAAAACTGCCGACTACTTGGATGCACGGGAAGTTGCGCCGGGCAAGGCAGACAGGGACATGTTCAAAGGCGATCCTGAGTTGGCAAAGTACGGTACGCTATCGGATCTCACGTTACAAACATTGAAAATTGACCGAGCAAGGATACTGATCCGATCATTATTTGAAAAAGGTGGATTAGCGATTGCCGTGCCGGGCGAATTGATGGGATACTGGGAGGCTCATAGAAAATACGGGAAACTGGCGTGGTCAGAATTGTTCGAACCAACGATCTCACTGTGCGAAACTGGATCCATCGTTACTACTTATCTGCACAACTACTTACACTCCAAAGAAGAGAAGATAAAAAAGGAAAAGTCATTGGCAGAGATTCTAATAAACCCTAAGACCAACACGACGTGGAAGGTAAACACTGTCGATTAATCTAAATTCTAATGCGTACATATCTCTCACATACATTTCTTCATACTTGTAACGTACATTTGTCAATTAAATTAAACTCTAACGAAACACATTTATTAGCAAGGCGATAGGATCAAGAGACCTCAGCTGAAAAAGACACTGCAAAAGATTGCGAACTTGGGGCCCAGCATATTTTACAACGGTTCCATAGGTGACGAACTAGTAAAAGAAATAAAAGCCTTCAATGGTATCATCGAAAAGGAGGATTTAAGAAATTACAAGTTAGAAACTCAAGACTCTGTACAGTTTAATGTGCCACCGAAAGAGAGAGAGATTGATGTAAAATTGTTACAGAGTCAAGTGGTCGAAACCGATCAACACAACTTTCGGGGTATTCACAATGTACACCGCGCCGCCACCAGGCTCAGGTGCGATTTTAGCTTTCATTCTTAACGTGCTCGAGGGCATAATACCTAGCAGCAACGAAAACGTCATGTGGCAGAACATAGTCGAAACGTTTAAATGGGCTTACGCCAGAAGAAACGAGTTAGCTGACCCTGACTACACTCCGCCTGATTATGACATTGGTGAGTCGGTAACTTACATTATCGTACAATCGCAGGTAAATACGCAGCAGCAAATATCAATCATCATTTTTTTGATAAACGAATTACGTCTTCACAGTGGACTAGTCTAGATAAGAGCATGAGATAAGCAAAATTCAGAATCAACTCAGTTTACGAATAACGTCGAATTATTAATTATACTGCGATACTTTGCAGATAAGAAATCGTACCAAAAAAAAGAAAATGTATTTGTTTGCAGATTTTATCTGATTTCATGTTGACTAAATTCTGTTTTATCTGATAATGACAGCTGCTCTTTTGGCCAATCTAACGTCCATGGATTATGCCAAGGAAATTCGGCACAAAATTAAAATAGACAAAACGAGCAACGATCCGGAATACTACGGAGCTGTGACGGTAACACCGAACGATTCTGGAACGTCGCACGTTTCCGTTTTGGCCCCCGACGGATCAGCTGTATCGGTCACATCTACTATAAATCAAGTGTACGATCGTTTCATTATCTCAAATACAGTCTTAACGAACGAAAGTACAATTCGATTCTCGAATCTGACAGTTTAGGTGCGATGATACGTTCAACATCAACTGGAATAATATTTAACGACGAGATGGACGATTTCAGTTCGCCAAATATGATTAATGGATTCGATTTACCACCCTCGCCAGTAAATTATATTAAACCTGGTAAAAGACCCATGAGCTCCATGAGCCCGACGATAATTGTAAGCATAATCATTTTCAGAATTCATCTAGCGTACCGAAAAAGTAATTTTCATTCACTTATTTTAAAGTTAGATGATAAAGGAGATGTTCGGTTAGTTATCGGTGCTGCAGGCGGTACCAAGATAATTTCTGCAGTCGCAATAGCAACGGTATTAAATCTTTTCTCCGGATACCAAATAAATCATGCTGTCGAAGCGTTGAGACTTCATCACCAGGTAAACTCTCATATTGTATAATCATGATGCCAAGTGTCTGTGAACGATTTTCGAAATTGCAGCTACTGCCGATGAAAGTGGAGAACGAGCGAAAATTCGCCCCGACAGTATTGAGTTATTTACACAGTATCGGGCACAACGTATCAACTTATGGTGGAATCGGTAGTGCTGTTACAGCTGTGGCCAAGCAACACGGACATATAATCGCCAGTTCGGATTTTCGCAGAGAAGGCAAGACCGCCGGGTTTTAAGATTACATACAAGCGATTCCACGAGCAAACGATAGAAGCCGAAAAACAATATGTGATTTTAAATACGTAACTGCTCCGAGTAAGATTTCCGTGCCACTTTTAGTATTATATTTCCGAAAGTATTAGATTTAATTGGGGACATTGTAAAATATAGACGCCAGTATTTTCGTTATTCGAGATACAAGTCGTACATTAATTTTTATCGTTAGACCTATTGTAAAAATGCTCGAGTGAAAGTATTTCGTGTATTTTATAACGTTACATTTTATACGATTTCCAACGAACCAAGCACAATGTAAAAAATAATTTATTTGAAAAAGAGAATGTACAAACCTTCATTTAATCTTCGTTATATTCACGCCTCTCGTTCGTACGTTGCGTCGATTTAAACAGATCTATGCACTTGTCTTTATTAATTACTGTCACTTTCGGAGAGATCAGCTTCCTGTTTCACTTTTCGCACGTAACGATTCACTTTTTTCGTTTTGCACAATCCTTTCTTCGACTTGCGTAATATTTCGATAGCGTGCAATTTATTTTTCAAAGCGTTCGCTTTATCCTTCTCCCTTTGCGGTATATGTTCGTCGACACTTTTTTCTGGCAGAGTGATAAGTCGGGACTTGTCTTGATCGACCTCCTCAGGATTCAATGCTTTATGTTCAACTTTCGAATCGGTCTGTTCAGTCTTTGATTCTATAGTTTTCTTTCGCCTTCCACCAGCAGGTTTCTTTTTCTTAACCGGCGCAGCCTCCGCAGCCTCGGGATCTTCCGCGTTTTCATTATTTAACTTATGCACAGCTTTCTGCACTCTTTTACTCAAAGCCATTTCGATCGGTTTTGGAACAGTGTGTAGTTTAAAGTACGCGCTTATCTTACTCTGACTCTGCTTCTCTTCCAATCTCTTTAATACTGGTGCCATGATCGCCATGGATTTATGTTTGTCCCAACCGAATTTTTGCTTCGCGTAATCGGTTAATAATAATATGTTTGGCTTACTCCAAGTGAAAGCCTCTCTCGATTCGTCCACTTCCGGGAACAGGTACGCTTGCACAACGGCTTGATTAGGGAAGCCTGTACATGGAAAAACAGTCTAGAAGTCACTCGTAACGATTAAAAGTAACACTATGTCTCAGGTACCTTTCTGAATTTGTAGGTTTTGCAATTTGTTGCGCAGAGTCGCTTTTCCGGGACCGGCGGATCTACCGTTCTCGATCCAGGTACAGAAATTGCTCAAACCGTGCAGCAGATCGTCACCCTGCGACGGAAAAGCTGCTAAAATTTCCAGCGCGGTGACTGGGCCAATGCCGGTTAACCCTGTAGTGTAATCGCTGCCGACTAAAAGAGCTAGTCTTATCATCTCGTTACGCGACAACTCTGGAAACAAAATCACGTCAGGTTTCCTCGGGGATATTGGGTAACTGGGAAATTGGATGACTTACTAAGGTGATATTGTATGTCCTCTGAGCGAAATTCAAGAACTTTTTTGCTGTTGTCGAAAAAATTTTTGTAAACACATCGACCCCCGAACAGCCAGATATCCGAATCATCCGTAATCGTGCCATCGGTCAGACGAATTTGTTCTAATAAAGCGCACTGCGCCTCTGCCTCCATGGGCGCAACGATATACGGGATTCCGAATATTCGTAACAGTTCCTGATGAAAGTATTTCATTATTACAATGAGAAGGTAATTAATTAATTTTATAAAGACTCACCTGAGCCTCTGTTCGGATCTGATCCGAAATGTCGATACCCTGCCTTTCTAATCTTCCAATATCTGCCACTAGTTCCGATTGTCTATCCTCTAACTGAGACTGAAAACGAAACACGCTATTATGTCAGACATTACGCTAACGTTATGCATCATTTCACAACAGTACCTGCAAACATAGCAAGTCATCCTTATTCAAGAGAATAGGTCTATTCTCAATTTCTGCATCATGTTTTGGAATACTCGCCGCATCATTAACACTATTCTTGTTCCTCATTTGAATTACCTCGGATTTTGCATTCGTATGTGCATCTATTTGCGAATGTACATTGTCATTTTCTTTAATTATACTTGAAAATTGCTTAATTTCATTTTCAATTCCGGGTAAGCGATTCTCCGAATCGATTGCATTTTCCGAAGCCTCTTCGAAATGTACTCTCTTTAATGACTGCTTAGGTACATCGTGTCCTGTACATTGAGTATTCTCTTCGACGACTGCTTGGGTACTTTGTGAACTTGTCTGTACATCTGACTCGCTGTTGGGTGTGTTGAATATGTCGGCAAACATATCATCCTCTATTTTTTCGTCGGATCTAAATGTTATTTGAATATTTTGTTGCGAAATACATTTCTCGATACTGGCATCAGTCTTTGGTACAGGCGCATCTTCTATTTCGATAAAATCGTCCGAATCGGATTCCGTTGAACTCATTACCGTATCTTTTGATTCAGCTTGCACTTCTTTTGAAACAGCAGTTGTAACAGGTGTCGCGTCAAATTCAAGTTCTGGCGCAGGGGTTGCTTCTTTCACATCCGTAGAATCATGGCTTACAGACTTTGCGTCTCCTTCGCACGACAAAGTTGAATCTTCTATTGTAATCGATTTCGTAACATCTGTCATATCTGCGTTTTTGCACTCTTCAGATTGCGTAATTAAGCCTTCATGTTCCTTTTTATGGGAACTGGATTTTTCTTTTACCTTTGAGATATCTTCTTTACTCTTTTGTTCGAGAAGAACATGGATCTGTTTCTCCGTTAATCCGCTGTACTCTAGCATGTATGTTAAAGCAGGATTACTCATAATATCTCTCCCAGAATACTTTTTTATTTGCAATCTGTTGGATTCTATTTCCGGTTCCGTATCGCTGCTCGTATCCCTCGTGAACTCGAAACTGTTGACATCTATTATTTCATCGTCGCTGTCCCAATCGTTCAGTGCGTATTCGTCCATGTCCTCAATGATCGATGGTAATTTACTGGGTCCAGCAACGCATTCATCCACCTTGTTGTCAATATTCTGTGAACTCGCGCTGCTCGAATCGACGTCGTTGCTCTTGAGTGCATTTTTATCTACAATCAAAAGTTCACGGAGATATGGAAACGCTTGGTTTCGGTCTGAATGAAAGGTTGCAATGAAATATGCGTACCACTGATATAAATGACCCTAGTTACATTATCCGCAGCGATACGGTAAGCATAATTCTGGGCGTTCATCGGTATCCCTTGTTCTTTCATCAACTTTTCCAGTTCCTCTAACGTAAGCGTCTTGCCTCCCATTTCCTTCTCCGACGATTCTAAACTCTCTTGAACCAATCTACGTTTCAACAGACGTTTCATTTGGAAACCAGAAAAGTGTGTCGACTCCTATACAAAGAAAACACATGCTACAAGAAAATAAGTAAATCTGTATTTTAGTCGACCAAACCAAATATATACTTGCGGCATTTCGTGTAAACGACCCCACGAACTTTGTTTCCGCGTTTCCTTCAGGTCTGTCAGGATTTCGTAACGCATGTCGGCTGGTAAAGATTTAAACTCGACACTGGACACGTCCACGTTGTGAATGTTTCCACTCCATTTCGACTGTTTCCGCGGACTCGGCTCGTCCGATGAATCGGAATTGTATTCCTCGGCGAGTTCTAATTCAGCTTTGCTGGTGCTCGGCAGATCTGGCAGTTTAAACATATTATCCACGTTTCGTTTATTTTGCAAACTTAAAATTACTTCGGTGGTTTCCTTGGTGGCATCGGTTTTCTCGGGGTCAAGAACCGTTTTCACCGTCGAGTGTTTTATTAAATTATTTATTAATTCCGTCCTCATCTGCTGGGCTTTATTCTTGGCCATAGATTTCTGCTTCCTGCGTAGAGCCTGTAAACACAAAAGAATAAGAGCCTCTTTTCTCACTACCTGGTTCCCACAGCAAACTAATTACAGACAGACAATATTATAATCAAGATAAAAGTACAGTTTCATTAATACATGCACGAACAATGTTCTTAAGTCAGGTACGCTGCTGTTTAGAAAGTTAAATCAACTGGTGAAATTATCATCCAAGCAAATCTATAATTGATCTCCTCGTTACATGAAGCCAGAATAAAAAATATATTTACAATTGTAGCCTTCTTAAGCATCGGTACACCTCCGTCAAATACAAAAACTGGCTTGATTTTATAATAGAGAAGTTTGCATATTCTGTTGAACAAGCCGATGAGATGAGCATTGGGTTTCGGATTGCCAAAACGGTCCTGATATCCTGCTAATACTTGATGTATCCATATCGACACATCTGCAAAACAAAGAAATTGTAGCAAGTGACTGAATTTAATTCATCTACAATTACTATCATGTCATACCGATAGCCAAGACTTTTCCTTCTAATGTCTCCAAGGGCACTTGTTTTCCTGTTGCATCTAGCAAACGCCAAAGGCCATGAACTCCCATTATGTAAAGTAACTAAGCTGTACAGAAAGACAACACGTTCGATAAGAAACAGAATATATTCTTTTATGGAAAATGTATTTTCGAATATCTCCAACCTAGTTCTCATTTCGAGTGTACAAAGTTTTGCTAAAATGATTATATTGATCATTCACCTGTACGTAATTGATATTATGTCAACATCAAACGCCATTAAATCATCGGTTTTTAGTGTTAAAGCTCGACACGCAAGCAAAGCACTTATTGATACGAACGTCGCACCGTCGCAACGGTCAGCTGATTACTAGACATAGCAGCAGGAGGAGCGTGATTAAAAGATTAATCTCACGACAGCGACATTTGTACCTTCGACTTTAAAACGACAACTCCAGTTTCGTATACAAGGAAAGGCAAATAATCTATTATTGCCGAAAAGTATCGATAAATTTTAAGTGAATGAATCGTTCATCAATTACTGTGTTCTTGAATTACGATACGAAACGCAATTCTACAGTTATGAAACTTTCAGAAATATGAAGTGAAGCAATAGGATTCTAATTCAGTCATCAATGAAAATATACTATGAAAAGCATGACGAGCATATAAGCTAATATATTATAAAATATTTCAATACTGAGGCATGTGAAATTCTCAGTTAATAGTCTGTATAATGAGTAACTAAAAATGTCTAACCGGAAGAGAAATTCTGATTAGGCTGATTATGTACTTGGAGCGAATTTATAATTGTTGAAGGTGTCTAGTTAAAACGGCTCACTGGACAACCGTGAGTTTTGGATAGAATAAGAAGTAACATTATTCATAGGAGTTTAATTTGCCTATCCACGCGAACTCGTCCTATATTACGCAGCAACGTGCGCACCGGCGACCGTTCGTGTGACTCGCGTGCACACGGACACGTAACGTAATACGGTGGATCACGTTTGTGTGCACGGGATTCGTCTATTTCCCGACGCGTGTGCGAATACGTGTAATACACTCGGGCCGCATGATGTATATATCGTATCGTCATCATCAGAGAAGTGAAGTGAGGTAGAGGCCACCCACTCTTTCCCACAGCAGGTTTTTCCCACGCCCCCCAGGGTAACCCCAACATCCTTTTGCGGCAGCAATTCCATGCCACTTTCGGGCCAGAGGGGAGTAGCTCACGTCAGGTGGGGAACAAGAGGGGAAACTGGAGGCGCTTGGCTCGGCTGGGCCATTGTACAACAGTAAAACAATAGAATCTGCAGCTCAGTAACGTAGCTACCCAAACTACACGAGATTCGTCCTATTTTTAAACATTTTTCCTACGTATCGACGTTCATTTCTTGGGATATATAACGAACATAAAAAAGTAACAGTCTCGTATCAGAAATTTCGAAATACAAAGTAGAATTTTGTAGAAGGTTTTACCTCGAGTCACATTGGAGTACTTTGTCTTTTGGATCTTTTTATCATATCCTCAGAATTGAAATACTCGTTTTAAATCCAAGTCATTGTTAATGATGAAAGTAAGCGAGATGTTTGGAACGTTTAGAAGAACGATCGTAAGGGTGTTCAGGCTACCTTAGAGATACGCGCCTGCTACAGCCGCTTACGCGGTAGTAATAACTCTACGTGGTCGTTTCGAACTTGGTTTAGTTACTCGGCGAATATCGTCGGGGTGGGTTGCACCAACGCACTGTTCGATAGAAACTAGCGTCTATCGCTTCGCTTGTCATAGCGCGAGTGACTTCGGGTAAATTTAAAAACAAGAAAACGAGAACACCGTGATTTACATGCTGCGTTTGTTGATTCCTGACGTTGTTACACCAGGAAATATGCGGTTTGTGTTTGTATTTTGGATTTAAAGTGCGGCGCGCGCACGGCTAAATCGTTCTTAGGGATTGGCAGGACTGTTCGGAAAATTCGGAAAGTGAACAGGTGTTTTTTGAATGGATTAGGGAGAATAGGCGACGAGGACGCAAAAGGATTTGCGAATGGTGAAGGAACGGTGCAATATTTGTGAATGACAAATAATTGAAGAAAATGCATTGGGACCTATGTTTTGATTCAAGTTAGTCGAGAAAATGAGGTGAGCATCGAAACCGTAACCTGTTTTTATTCGGTGTAACCTTCTTTCCATTGAAGAAGGTAAATAAACGATACTGTTTGCATCTTAAATAATTTCTTATCGAAAGGACATAGGACAAACTTATCGTCGACCGAGCTTAAATATCTGTTCTTCGAAGGAGAAGATTTACAAAATTAAGGTTTCTGTTATCAACAGTCTTGCAAAGTCAATTTTTAACAAACGATTCTTACCAAACGAAATATATTCAGTTATTCCGGTCTCTTCATTTATCTCGTTTTGCACGTTGATAGCACTCAGATAGAATTTTCAGTACAAATTGTTAGCCACTTGTGAATTTTAAATGATCTTTTTTAAATCCACAGTAATGTAAGTGTACCAGTGCAGCTATTATACATACAAGTTTGTCTGTTGATTCCACGTTGGAACATGTATTTGTAATTCTGTCCATGATGCATTTAATTAAGAGTTACGAGCATACGTAACTTGTGTCTAGCAATTGGCATTGCAAGTTTTATCAGGAAGTAGTTTTTTCTTTTCCTGTAACACCGTGATATCTGTAGCCTGAAACAGAAATAATTTTGTCTCGTGGCGGTTGATACAATTATCGGAATGTCAAAAACATTTGCAAAACGCATTCTGTGGCATGTGTGCAATCGGAGAGGAACATCTTTGCACTCTGTAAATGCCTAGGTAGCACGGACTAGACACAATGCACAAAGGTGATTTAATTCATGCAGGAAAAATGGGTTCAGCTCAATTCCCACAGTGTACATGTACATTTCCTCTTTCCTGCGCCAAGACTAGCAATTCTTGGTACCTCGTTTAAAGAAGGATGCTTCGCGTTAATTATATCTTGCATCATAAAAAAACGAAAAATCTTTCCCACGCTAAATGAGCATAAAGTTGTACGCATCCTTGTCTATTCATGGCTACCAAATCATACCCTTTCTCCATATTTCAAACTGCTGATGTACATCTCTAAAAAAGAAGAGATAATTAAACGATTCGATTACCAGTTGAACAATGATGGAACGTATTTTCAGGTAAACCGGTGGAGCTAATTATGACATGCACGGATAGCAAGGGTAGTCTGGAAACGACCTAGCGACTCTGTTGTACAGTAGAGAGAATCAGGGCAAGAACCACGGAGGATTAAATATGCCACACCAGTTTGGTTTGCCGACGATGGCGCATGGAATGCAATCACCTCCTTCGCCGACCTCGGTCATGTCGGTTTATCCTCGATTCGGGTCCGGCGTCTACAGACCGGATCACCAGGATCAAAGATTGACGCGCGAGGCAATGGAGCGTTATTTACGCGACAGGAGCGACATGGTCATCGTGATCCTGCACGCGAAGGTCGCTCAGAAGTCTTACGGGAACGAGAAACGATTCTTCTGCCCGCCGCCGTGCATCTATCTTTTCGGGGACGGTTGGAGAATGCGTCAGGAGCAGATGCTGCGCGAGGGCGAGAGCGAACAGTCAGCTCAGCTGTGCGCGTTCATCGGGATCGGCAACTCCGATCAAGACATGCAGCAACTGGACCTGAACAACGGGAAACAGTATTGCGCGGCCAAGACATTGTACATCTCGGACTCGGACAAGAGGAAGCACTTTATGCTCTCGGTGAAGATGTTTTACGGCAGTGGCCACGACATCGGCGTTTTTCACAGTAAGAGGATCAAGGTGATCTCGAAACCGTCAAAGAAGAAACAGTCGTTAAAGAACGCCGACCTGTGTATAGCGAGCGGCACGAAGGTCGCGCTGTTCAATCGGCTGCGGTCACAGACGGTCAGCACGCGTTACCTCCACGTCGAGAACGGGAACTTCCATGCGAGCTCCACGCAGTGGGGAGCATTCACAATACACTTGCTCGACGATAATGAAAGCGAGTCCGAGGAGTTTCAGGTACGGGATGGATACGTGCATTACGGTAGTACTGTAAAATTAGTATGTTCCGTGACGGGAATGGCGCTACCGCGACTGGTGATCCGTAAAGTGGATAAGCAGATGGCCAGTTTGGAAGCCGACGACCCCGTGTCGCAACTGCACAAATGCGCGTTTTACATGAAGGACACCGATCACATGTATCTCTGCCTGTCTCAAGAGCGCATAATACAGTTTCAAGCTACGCCTTGCCCGAAGGAAGCGAACAAGGAGATGATAAACGACGGTGCTTGTTGGACGATAATCAGTACCGACAAAGCAGAGTATCAATTCTTTGAGGGAATGGGCCCCGTCAGATCGCCAGTGACCCCGGTACCGTTGGTTCACAGCTTACATTTGAACGGCGGCGGGGACGTGGCGATGCTCGAGCTGACTGGCGACAATTTCACGCCGAATCTTCAAGTATGGTTCGGAGACGTGGAAGCAGAGACTATGTACAGATGCCAGGAGAGCATGCTCTGCGTGGTGCCCGATATCTCGCAGTTCAGGGGTGAGTGGCTCTGGGTCCGGCAACCGACCCAGGTGCCGGTCTCGTTGGTCCGCAATGACGGCATCATTTACGCAACCGGGTTGACGTTCACGTATACCCCGGAGCCGGGTCCCCGACCTCACTGTCCACCGGCGGATGAGATCATGCGAGCGCCGCGTGCTATGCACAATCAGGCGAGCATGCCGCCGGCGATCGCAGACGTACCGTGGAACACGCATCAGCCACCACAGTCGGGTCTCTGATGTTTTCTAGACAATTACAGTGCGCATCACCAAAGTTTACGAGCTAGTGAGACGAACACTATTTCGAACATTCCCGTTGCATCGTTGAACGGCGATATCCCCGTGGATAACGAGCGGCTGGACGACGACGGTTCCTCGGCGAGCACGTACGCCGCGCAAGACCCGTTGGCCCGAGACGACACGAGTTTAGACGATGCGAGGAGCGAGACATAGCATTCCGTAGCGTCGGATGTCTGTGTCTCTACGTGGACATGTACAGTGTGCCGTGCCGTGGATCGTTTCCATATGTACGTAGGTTCCTAGCTTTAAGTGTTAAATACAGAAATTACACACAGGGATTAGAATTTATAGCGACTAATAGGATTAAGTGCTTTTTACGAATGTGAATATACCTAGCTAATTAGGTCAAACGGGAGGGAGAGAGAACGAATACGATGATTGAAAAAACTTACTTGAGAGTCCCTCCGTCGCGTCGTGTTCGACCAGTCATCGAAATCGTGCAATTGTATTATTGCACACCGATCGTTGAAAGTGGTTGTGCATTCTTTCTCTCGCGTTGCCGGAGCACTCTAAGTTTCGTTTCGAATTGATCGTGGCACTAGAAATGCACGTGACAGTATATGGAAGTACTGTCAGCAATTCTTAAACCGCTACGAATCTATTAAAAGCCGTTCTATTTTATTTAAGATATGCGCTGACGTCGACCAAAACAGCAAATCGCATTGTGTGCAATTCCGTCTGTTTTACACATTTCCTTCACCAAAATTGATAAGCATGTTTATTCAGTTTTCCGGTGAGAACGTAAGATTAGTATATAGCATATGGAAAGTTTATGAAACATTGATAGAACGTAACGCAGCGACGTTAATTTTTCGAAGTTAATTTGCATCACGATAGACATGAGTATTTCAACGAATAGGCAAAATTCGCGGTGCACACGCTTGCTCGATTTATATTTCAGCGCGCATCGAACCGGGCCGAGGTACGTTCCTCCACCACAATAGTACCAAACGGGCCGACTCCCACCCAAGCGTACAGCCTGGCGGCCCGTTTCGAAGCGGGTTGTCCACGTATGTACCGCGCAATATTTAGAGCTTTATAATGCAAGTACGCATTACTTCTTTAATTATATCGTACAAATTACTGTTTTGCAAATCGTTCAATGTTTCCATGCTTTTCTTCTTAAAATTATAGTTTATACTTATGACTATTATTTCATATAATAGAGAGAGTTGTCTAAATTAAGAAAGTACGGAATAAAATAGAACATGAGTAGTATAATTATTTTTTTCTTATCTTTATTTCAGCTGTTCTTCGAATAGCCTTTGATTCGAAGTCATTTGTATGAAATTCAACTGCCATTCGGAAATTAGTTTTAAGAAGAAAAGCATGGAAGACCACCCCGTCGGCTACCATAACTTACCGATCATTATTTATTTTTTTTTCAAGTTCGCTGACAATCCCGACTTGCTTTCTCTAACAGATTTTATGCACGCTTCTTTATTAATCTCACTCACCGTCTGTCGATGCTCGTCTTGAGATCTCTTTTTAAAAGCAGAAACGACAATATGCTTGTTCGCGAAATAAGCACGATCTGTATCGATGCATTCCCAATTGATACGGAAGATCAAAGTCTAAATATACACGTTTTATGTCTCTCTATGTTTTACAATAAATTGAAAAGATTTATATACAACGAAAAGTCTTTACTTGATGACCTACACGTATTATTTCCAAATCCCATTATTCGGATTTCGAGCTTCGTGGAACGATGCAATTTGACGATTACCCGGGCAACGAGTCGTTCGTTTGTCCAAGTACTTTCCGACTTGGTCGAATCGGTACAGGCTTTTTTCCTAGATACCATCGAATATAATTATCTACAACAGGAAGCAAGATACGATCGGTTTGGGAATCGTCTTCCTGAAGAGATCCATTGTAAAGCATTGGAATGTCGGTACATGTACACCCATGGGAATTTACCCACGATTAAAATTTGCACCAAGTACCTGAAGAACACGATTATCTTTATTCACAGTAATAAATTGCGTGTTAATAATAATTACATCCTCACGTGTATGAGTGGACGGATAATTCATTGAATAATCATTGCGATTTCGTTACAAAACGTTGAGAATAAGAATTATTTTAATTTAAATACGTAGCTACGTTCGAACGTAAATGATTTTCGAATAATTCGCCGAATACGGAGTTCATCTTCGAATCGCACGTTCCTAGGAAACGATAAGTACACGTTTGAACGTGAAATTTCTTTCTTAATGTATCTACTACACAATAAAACAATATTTTACAAAACTATATGGAAACCTTATTTGTAAATAAATCATATACAATTTTTTCAACTAATCGTTTGTGTACACGTGCATTAAGATTCAACCCCTTCCTCCCATCCTCCCTCACATTTCCTCGATCGCACCCACGTGTCGTGACGATGAACGCGAAACCCGATTCGCAGTTATATATAAATTATAAAATTCGTAACGAGAACACTTTGTATAAAATTGTTAAACATTACCATTGCGCTTGTCAAATGCGGTTTGTGTTAAAAAGTTATTTTTGCGCGTGCCTTGTTCCTTTGCGTTTATTTTATCCGTATCGTTCGCTGTTTGTTCATGTTCGTGAGCATTAACGATATGTACGAAGTCAAAAGATCGTCCATCTTGTAGCCGAGCGAGGTCTCGCACAACAGTTTCGAACCGCGCACCAAATTACCGATAGTCATGTGAAAGTACGTGTTACCAGACGACCAATTCGAGATTCTAGTAAACGGATGCGTTACTAATATATCCTGAAAGCAAGCACAAAACATTTTATATAATTATTAATAAGTATGAAACACGTGGTTACTTACTTTTGTCTGTGGGTGTATAAGGCTCACGCCGTGCTTATTTATAGCGATCAACAGCAATTCTGGATAGTTCGGTTCTGTACTTTGTTTCACCTCGAAGAATGCTGAACCGAAAGTTGGCCATCGGTAGACTATCTTCAAAAATGTTATCTTCGCGTCTTCCGGACTCATGCCTGTACGAAAAGAAATATAACAGGGCAAATAGAAAGTGCAGATAAATTAAAAATCCGTAATTGGAACGATGTCTCACCAGCGTCCTGATTGTACGCAGCTATTATCGACCTCTTCCAATCGTTGGCACTTTGTACCTTCACCAAGTCACCGGGAATAAGTTCTCGTAACATTTGTCTATATAAGGAAGTGCTTCGTTAGTCTTTTTAATTATAAAGTACGGAATGCGCTTCGGAATTACACTTACGGAATCGCTTGAAGTTCTTGTTTGCTCTCGCCGAAGCGAACCCTATAGACTAGCGCTGCCAGTCTCGACGCTTCTTCCTTGGTACATTTATGGTAGCCTATGCAAAAACACGAAACATTGTTGTACGAAAGGAGCGTGTAATTGTTTGCAACAGAAACGGAACGTGGGTTTTACCTCTTAACAATTTAGGTAGCTCTTGATGAAAATGGAAAATGAGGTCCGCATTTCTGTCTTTACCGGGAACAGTGTTGGTCCATAATTTCTTCATGAAAAACACTTGGTACGTAAACTGCGGCGCTACACCTAAACAAAAGATGAATTTCGTAATTTCATTCTTGTATCCTTTTTCGCGACAAATCGTCAAGACGTACCATCGCGGGAAGGTCGAGCTTTCCTTATCCAGTCGGTCAAATGGCGCACGAAATCGAAGAAGAAATCGCCTTCCGGGACCGAAATCACCTTGTCAGCAATTTTCACGAATAAACTGAATCCCTCCGCCGATCTTAAATTCAATCTCTGCGCTATGTTTTGACAAAAGTCTTTCGCTCTCGTCGACGAGTCCACCTCGAACGCTTCGTCCGTATCGTCCGGGAAATAGACTTTGTGAAATATCTGGGTAGTTTTGTGCTGTATAGCCTCCACTTCCACTTGATGCGGAGGATATTTTCGCTGACCGTTACGTAGAGTCTTTTGCAGTCTTTGCAACGAATCTTGAGATATGGGATGCCGTCTTGTACGTAAGAAGAGAGTCAATTCCTTCAACAAACTTTGGCTGCAAGCAAACAGACCAGTGGCAAGCCACATCAACTCCCAGCCACGTTCCTCGCTCAATCTGTTCCGATTGTCCGTCAATTGTTTCATGATCTGACAATAGATTTCATCTCTAAGGATCTCGTTCTTCAAAGGGCCGTCGAAGATGAGATCGGTGTACTCGTTGCCTATGCGTGGTCGTTTCGTTGGCAAATCACCCATGTATTTCAAGATCGCATTAAAAGCGAAACACGCTTCCTCGGCCAATTCCTCTTTGGACACCAATTTTTTTAACAAGGGCTGCTTAATAGGATCTCTGGAATGATGCCACAACTCGTCAGTGTGGCCGCGACGAGCAGTGGTCAACGTCAACGCCTTCGACATAGTCCTCTTTGGCGGTGTTCGGAAATGATCGATGGCATATTCCATGAGAGTGTGTGGCTTGTCGCGAGGCTCTATTCCGTTCACCTGCTGGGGATACAGTTTCCGCCCGTTCTCCGTACCTTCGATACTGAACAAGGACAGTATGTCGTTCGGTGGTTTTGTCAACGAAGGTAACACGTAAACCGTCTCGGCTGGGAAATCACCCTTGACGCCGGTTCTCTCGCACGTGCCGACACACCAGCCCGAGTTGAGAACAATCTCGCCAGTACTCTCGTCCTCCAGAATGATGAGATCGCCCTTCTGAAAGCTCAAGAATGACGAACTTTCACCGGGGGCTTTGTAATCTTGCAACGCGATCACGTATTTACTACGCTTCTTCAGCCCCTCCAAGAAGTACACCACTAAATCACGGATGTCTTCGGCGTTCGGACTTTGGAAAGTGAATTCCTCTCCTCGCACCGTCGACAGATTGAACGTTTGCGTAAACATTTTGTTCGTTTTTTGACTAGACACAGTGGTGATTTCGGGAAACGACAATTCAAGAAGCACTTGCTCCTGATCGTCGACGACGTATACTCCGGTCCAATTTACGGCGATGATCACGTCGTTCTTCGGCAGGTTCGGCCCGGAATTTCTATACGCCTCGTAAAACCGGGAGAAGAGCAGCGGCCACTTGAACTTGGCGTAACCGACGATATCTTCCTTAACGCGTAAAGCAGGTACCTTTTCTTTTAAATAGTAGCTCTTTTTGTACGCTTGAAGAACGAGATGTCCCCATCTGTCGATCGCCTTATCGATTCCCGTCAAACAATAATCCGGGATATAATTCGGCAGGAGCGTGTACAACCTCTCGACGTTCATGTCGATGTGATATTCTATGTAATATTGTTGAGCAGCGATCATCGCTAGGTCCTCTTCCTTGTCGCAGCGATACTCGCCGAATTTCACCCCCCTGACGACCTGCTGATAAATCAAATTAGTAGCGACCTGGTCCTCCGTCGGCTCGTGCCAAGGTGCGAATATTTCCTTCCTAAAGAACAGCCTCCACGGCGCATTTCTCTCCTGAGCACCTTGTTCCTTAGCGTACTGCTCGCACTGCGAAATAGCATCCATCACATGGTCTCCGCCGCTGCCGAGCGACGACACCTTGTCGAACAACGCGATATAAAGCGAGAAGCCGAATTGATCTCGCAACGATATCTTGTCTGACAATTGATTGCACAGCTCCCGCGCGGTGGTAGCAGAATCAGCGAGCAGCGTCTTCGTGTTACCGTCCATAAACGTGATGGGTAACATGATCGGCTTCTTCGATTTGGTCGCTTGAAGTTCCAGCCAGCTCGGAGGTTGATTCCGCGTGCCATTGTTGAACGTTCTCTTCAACCGGTCCTCACAGTAGGGCGCGTATCCCGGTGGTCCCTCTCTGATAAACGCTCTTAGATAATTAACAAACTTCTCGGACGGTGCGAAGCAGCCGACGCAAAGTGAGAGCAAGATCCAGCCACGCGCGTGCGACGACTTGGAAGGATTGTTCGTCAGCTGTTTGCATATTTGGCAGTAGATCTCGTCCCTTAATTCGGCTCGCAATATTCCGTGACCGATGATAAAGTGAAGTTTCTCAAGGTTCGAAGTCGGTCTCGCTTCCAACCAGGATTGATAACTGTCCGCTGTGTATTCGTCCTCCTGCAACTTTCGTCTCACGTCCTCGCCTAATTTGTTCTTTCGCTTTAACGTCAACGAGACCAACTTGTGCCTGATTGAGCGCGGTTTCTGCCGGAGGAACGCTTCCGGATCCATGCCCATCATCTGCGCCTCTTGAAACTCCTTGCTTCTTATAAAATTGCGACCGAGAGTCGCAGTGACCTTCGACATGACCGAGGTCGTATCCCTGTCCATCGTGTGGAATCTAGGCTCAGGCAGATCCCCGGTGAAACGTAATATAGTGATCCATAACGCTTGCGCCGCCAGCTGATCGCCCTGCGTGTGTAGCGGTAACAAGGGATGCTTCAATGGCTTCCTCGAATACTGATGAGTGATATTTCCTTGGAAATAAGTGGCTGCGAACTTTTGGAACTTAAACTCTGACAAATCCTCCTCGTCTTCCGAGGCCGTTTGCATGGGACTGATGATCTCCTGCTGATCTGCTTTCGGAGCGGGCAGATCGTTGAACACGGAAGTTTCCCTAGCAGGCGTGGGTGCCTCGCTGCTCGAATCGGGTAAGAAATCGAACATCGCCTCGACCAGTTTACTGTCATCGACCGGTTCATCCTGTTTCTTCGCAGCGTCGTTTATCAAGTTCTTCTTAATCTCCATTCTACGTCTGTCTTCTAATTCCATCTCGATCTCCTTCCTCTCCAGTTCCTGCATTCGTTCTCTGTAATTCTGTTCAGCGATCTCTTTCGCCCGCTTGTTCCCCTGGTCCTTCAATTCTCGCTCTTCTTTCTTTCTCAACCTCAGCGCTTCCACGTGCAACCGATATTCGTACTTGACTTTCTTGTACCGCCTCTGTGCTATCAACCTCCGAACATGAGCCTGTATCTTCACGATCGCCCATAATTTTTTCTGATACATCTTGCGGACCAGGTACCCTCTTGATCTCGCCTGAAGAGCGACTATATGTCCCCTGAGGTGTCTGAATCTGTGCGACAGTACTCGCGACCTGATCAGCGCCTGCAATCGCATGTAACCGATTCGCATGCGCCTGTACCTCTGCCGTTGCGCGTAGCCCCTCCAGTATTTTTGAATCACCGTCGCGGCTGCCCTCATGCGAAGGAACCTCCTTCTGTACACCCAGCCACGAATATTCCGTTGCAATATCAGAATCTTCCTCGTCAAGACGCGATCACGTTCCTGCTCCAAAAACAAGTCGTGAGCATCTTTCAGAAACACTTTCGTATGCCCGAGTTGGTAGTCAGATCTTCCCAATACCACGTGACAAATCTTAGCAGTGACGGCTTGACAGTCGACCTTGTGCGCCGGAGGCACGCCAGGAATTAAGAAACGATATCTCTCGACGAACTCCGGGAACGAGTGTCTGATTGGATAACCGGCTCTGCGGATTCGTATCGTCTCCATCATGCCAGAGTATCTCAACTGTCTGCAACACAGTCCCCTGTCGAACATCATCGGCTTCTTGTACTCGTTCGGTTTGATACACCTGATGAAGAACGGTTGGCAACTGCACAGCGTTTTCATCAACGAGTCCAAAGACTTCTTGAACTGCGTGGACAAAGTGGGCGCTCTCTTTCTCGTTTCTGATCCCATACCTATATCCTCAGCGAAACAGGTTTGCAGAAATTTGTTCGACGACACGTGGATCAGGTGCAACAGGTCGGCACTGAACGTGTCCCTATTCTTCTCGAGGAAACTTCGGGTGTCGTAGAATACAACGCCGGCAAAGTGGTTCAATCCGAAGGAGGTGTTTATGTCCGACTTCGGTTTCAAATAATTCCGATGGCTTCCGTGAGTCTTGTGTATTTTAGCTAACATGGTTTGATCCGTGCCCTTTGGAAACTTCGATTCCTCGTCGATCAGAGCCATGATATTTAATTGCTTAATAGCTATCAGATCTAGCGCATCTTGATTGTCGACAAACTCTATGTGCTGCCAATTGATACCTTCGTGATTGTACTCCTCTTGTTCCAGTTTAAATATGTGCTGCACAAAAAATTGTTGCAGGTTCTCGTTTGCATAATTGATGCAGAACTGTTCGAAGCTATTGTGGTTGAAATTCTCGAAACCGAATATGTCCAAAACACCTATCGCACTTCTGGACGTGTTTTTAGGTCTGTAAATCGCCTCGTTGATCTTCTTAACGATGTGCACAAACAGCCGTCCGTATATTCCTTTGACGAACGCATCCCTAATGTCCACCGACTGTTCCCTAGACAACGTGGAAACCTGCACATGCATTTAGACATCGATGTTAGCTAGACAAACATTCTGTCGCTATAATATCTCGCAACTACTCTCGCGCGTATTTTAATGTAACGCGAATCACTCGTTACTTACGACTGTCTCACCGTGAGCGAATATTGTCTTGCGAGTGAGCGCGTCTATCAGATTCTGAACAGGCACGCCTAATAAATGCGCGACCCTCTGGACGTTCGTCTGCTCCGGTATTTCGGTAGCGTCCAAATTATCTAAAGTTCAAGCGCATAAAAATACAATTGAAAAAGAATGAGCTTGTGCTTATTCATTATAAAAATCATTTACCTACGACAATGGCCCTGTACTTGACGTTGCCCATGTGCAGCAGAGCAGCGAGTAACTTGAGGATCTCCCATATCTCCGAATCGGAAAACAACAAAACTTTCATCGCCGATCTAATATCAGCGAATTCCGCAGCATCGTCTCGACCCTCGCAGGTGATGCTGTCACCCTAAACAAAAACGAGACGGCGATTAATTAACTAGTTTTATGAGCATTTTATGGGCAAGCGTTTGATCCAAGTTTTACCCCAGTTAAATATTTATAGGAGGACGCATCGTCCAGTTCCAACTTCTGCTTCTCTTCCCTCGACAGACCAGCCAACATGCAATAAAATACATGATAATTCCTCTCGTCCATACTCTGCGAGACTATTCGCGATTTTTCCAACAGGTACTGCTCGATCTTCGCCCCTTCGATCACCCCTTGCTCGTTGAAGTGAATGTCAATGTACTTCCCGAAGCGAGACGAATTATCGTTTCGCACTGTCTTCGCATTACCGAATGCTATGGAGGAAACAACATTGTACGACATGTCAATATTTAACTCTTTCGAAAGGCATAAAACAAAATGTACCTTCGAGGATAGGATTCGCTTCCAAAATTTGCTGTTCGATCCAAGAATGTTTGCCGCTGATCGCTGCCAAATATTGCAAAATTAATTTCGTACTTTCCGTTTTGCCGGCTCCGCTTTCACCGCTAAGACACAAATATTCGTGGATTTGACAAACAGTTTTTCAGACAAGACAGATAGAAATAAGAAGTGGCGAGAAGTCTAAATAAGTTCAATAGAAAAAAACATTCAATAAAAGGAAAAGAAATTAACGGTCGATACCTGATTACTATACATTGATCCTGGCCATATCTATTCATATGTGCGTAACTGTTGTCTCCAATGGCAAATATGTGCGGCGGTAGTTCTCCTATTTTACGATCCTTATAAAGTTTGATTTGCTCGGCGGTATAAATAGGCAATATCTGGTACGGATTCACGGCGACTAGAATCGAACCCGTGTAGGTCTGAGGAAAAACGATACACGTTTGAAAAAACATTGAACAGCTTCGAGCGTTGGCTCTCGCGCGTTGTAAGTACAGCTGCTTACGTATATGAGATTCTCGTTGTAGCGGATCAACAAATTCCTCAGGATGCCCGCTTCATGGAGGTCTCCTAAGCTGATCATATCTTCTACACCTTGCACAGAAGTGGCATGCATCGCCTTTATTCGCCTCTCCGGAGTCAGCCATTGTTCCTACAAATTGCTTTTACGATAAAACTACATTTCTGCGTTTATACAATATTTAAATAATCAAGAATGAATTATTCGATTCAAGGAGTGGAACATTGAACGTTTATAAAATATTTAAATAATCAAGAATTAATTATTCGATTCAAAGAGTGGAACATCGAACGTTTACAAGAATTTGATTTTGCTACACGGAGATCTATGAAATAAATTTCTTGCCTATTGTTTGGATAAAATACCCATAACTCTGCTTTCTACATACCGGTATCCCGTACCGGTATCACGTGTTTCTCCTCGAGGTGTGTTCGAGAGAAACGAGCTACGAGTTTTCGACGAGAAATTCGGTGAACGCGGAAAGTAGGTAACGATTACCTTGTTATCGTCGTCTTTCACTTGAATGCGTCTGCCTTCCGCGGATATCACTCGTGCTCCGATTGCGACGTCAAATTCTTTCCCTGATATCGGTTCGATCCATATGTAATCCCCCTGCAACGGAATTCATCTTTTCATTAGAATTAAATTAGCCGTGTCGTTCGCATTAAAATAACAGATTCACGTGGCCACGCACATCTTCAGAAAGAAACCAATAAAGTTCGTATCTCAACATTAGTATATTAATAGGAACGTTGTCTTCTTTAACTAGTTTACGCGTTCACTATTATAAAGGATGGTGTATGCTCGATCGAGCGATAACAGTAAACACGGAGGAGGATCAGTACAAGTAAAAGTTCCCGCGAATTGTATAAAATAGAAGGGAAAATTAAAGTCAAGGATTCTCCGACTCGAATCAGCGGATCGATCGGCACTATCACGCACTCGAAACTAACAATCGCGATATCTGAAACGTTTTAATTAAACGAGTTAACGCCGCGTCAGTCGTTTAGCAACGCAACTTTCCTCTCTTGAATTCGAGCGCGTGTGATCGCGAACCCGATCGCTCTCCTCTCGTCTTTCTACCTTGCATAGCAGATAATTTAATCAAGTAACGGACGGGCATTATTCCGGCTTCCGCGCCATCGTCTCGGACCGTGTCGCTCACCCCTCGCGTACGATTATTATTGATTAGATTATATAGATTTTAATTATTCATTGTCTTTGTCGTGCAAGAAGAGATACGATTGAAGAAATAAGGAGTGGATAGTTAAGCGGCCTTACCATTGTGAAATATAAAAAAATCTAATTCCTTTTTTGCATTTTTCGAAAGTTTATACTTTCAAGAGTAAAAAAACTACGCCATTTTGTCAGATTACAACATTTCTCGGATATCCTAGATCATACAACAGAGAATACCTTCTAGTTTAAGGTTGTATTGGCTATACAGTCAATCCCAAAAGTTTATGCACTTTAGAAACGCATTTTTTAAAAAGAAATCAGACGTCGGAAGAACATTGCTAATAATAAACAACAAAAAAAGAATTTTCGATTTTTCCGAGATTTTTCCAAGGGGTACCCCTTCAATTTCTTCCAAATTTTCATTTTTGCCAATAACTCCTAAACCGTTAGACATACGGGAAAATTGCATACGACCTTTCTTGTAGAGGACGACGAGATCTACAATTTCTGTATTAAAGTTTTTCCCTAGCATCAATAGTTTACGAGTAATTTGCAAAAAACTGTTTTTTCATTTTTCGTCAATAACTCGTTAAATATTGATGCTAGCGAAGAATTCTCATATGGAAATTGTAGATCTCGTCGTCCTCTACAAAATGGTCCTATAAATTGCCCCCTAAGTCCATCCGTTTGGGAGTTATTGAAGAAAAACGAAATTTTTTGTCAAAAGTTCGCCATTTCGACGCTGGGATGGTCGGATTTTGTCAACATCAATAAAATGCCATATAATCATACGTAACTCGTTAAATATCGAAGTTAGAAGGGAAACAACTTTTATTTGAAGCATTTTTCGCAATTTTGAAAAAAAAATTTTTCGTCAGCGTCAATACTTAATTGGATATTTCCTTCTATACTTTTTAGCATGTAGTTATTTATTATTAGCATTATTCTTCCGACGTCTGATTTCTTTTTAATTATAGGAAATGTGTTTTTCTAAGGTACATAAACTTTTGGAATTAACTGTATAGCCAATACATCCTTAAAAGCGTCTTTGTCTTTTTTCATTTCAGACACTCTAGCGAACTGTATGATGTCAGCAATTGAGGCACTTTTTTTAGCGCATAACTTGGTCGCCTTTAGTTATTTTTGTATGAAAAAATTATTTTACACAGTTCATTTATAGGCAAATATACGCATAAAGTTTAAAAAATTCCATAGAATACTTTCTTTAAGAAAAATTCCCAAAAATGCCCCTAATAACGCAGAAGAAGACAATATTCGTGAGTCGCAGTCTACCTATCGTTTGACTATTAGGGATTCAGGAAATGCAGTATGCGATAGACGTATATTCAACAGGTTCGCGTGCGTTCCAGCTGAAAGAGAGTTTGAGAACCTCCGGGCTAGCCTACGTGTTCTACGAACACGTACTCCTATACGAACGCGCACCGTGGCTGATATTCGTATACGTTCCGATTGTTCACCTCACCGGAACAACATCGGAACAGCCCGTCTGCTTCGTTGCTTCGTAACGAGCCTCCGTTCAATGTAGCCCTTCTTTCCTCAGCCGATTTTACTTTCAGCCTTTGCCTCTGTCGCGTTTAAGCAACTCGCGCAAGGCTGAAATAAACAAGCTTTCAAATTCACGTCGTGCATACTTTACATATGTAAGGATCGTAAAAAGCCCCATAAATCATAATAAATTATAATAGTTGTAAAGATGCTATGAAAGACGCTGCTCATTGCTCGATGCCAAATCCTTTGAAGGATCAGAGAGTTTCTATGGTGTAGCCAGTCCGCAGGCGAGGATATAATACGATCGAGGGTATAAACGCGTGTCCGGTAAAACGATTCGCGTCCCGTTATGCGACGGCTGGTTCGTTCGCGCGAAATGCTAAGCCGTTTGTACGCAGGGCATTCGCGAAGTGATGAAGGACCGTTAACTATGCCTAATTAACCGGCCATTTGTTTCGATCTACGTTCGCTCTACAACTCGCGTTTCTACGTAACGAACCAGTGTCTCAATTATTGCCTTGCCAAATGACGTTACAATATATTTTAATCAGTTTACTGTACACCTTGTACATGTCCAGTGCTGTTCGTCTTGATCAACTTTTAATTTCATTTGTGTGACCGTGTGCCATTCTGTTGGGCTGGCGAGATAATCTGGTAGAGCTGACGCTCGTTCGCCGAGCATGACTCTTCATGTGGAGAAAGAATCTGAGGACGGTCTCCGTCATTTTCACTTGTCATAGATTCCTACTGACCGTCTTCGACGAGCACGACGAGGAAAGCGGTAACATAATGAACGGGAACGGAAAGATCATCCTAAACTTTCCACAGACCTAGCCGGGAGACCCTTGCGTACCCGAGAAACGGCAGGAAATGATACGAGCCGAAATAATAACTCACCCGCGTGACGATGACCATCTCTCAAGTCGTGGTTGCCGACACTCCGCCTGAAATAAAAAAAAAATAACATTTTCCTACTTTTGTCTCTCTAATAGCTTACCGTCAGTTCGAAAAACGATAATAATTCTTATTCCAAATAATGTCCATCTATCTTGTAACTGACACGAATGTTTTATTTTGCATAAAAAATTGCAGCCGGCTAGACACCGCGTGCATCGTGTTATCGATAATTCCGTAGGAAGAACGAGATTTCAACGATTAGAGTAATTAAGCGCGGAACGTAGAGTACAGGGACACCGGCTACGCGCTGGTATGCGATATCTATTCGAAGAAAAATCATTCCGGCGTGCGACGATGATGTCTGGTTGATCACCGTTACAGTGGAAGCAGCACGAGCATAAACCTGTTCGCAAAAGTGGGTTAGGCAGTTTCTGCTACCGCTGCTACTACTCAGCCGTACACCTTTCGAGAACATCACATCGAGGATTCTCGCAACGAGATTTATCTCCCTTCCCCTTATCACGCGAATCACTCTGTCAATTCGAATCCTTCGTTCGGAACAGATCGAACTCGAACCGTAGCTATCGTTCGTTAATGAGAGACGCTGAATCCGCGATCTCGCGGGAGAGACGAGCATCGATGAAACTGCGGTTTACGCGTCACTGGCATCAATTTTGTTCGCCAAAAGGCAGCCGATGGATTCGCTTCGATTATGCTCGCACGAGTAACTCGCGGGTCGACGAACTGTTCGTTAACTTTTCCATCGCCTTTTCTCGTTTTCTCACGAGCCCTCAACGTCGGGTATTGAAACGCACCGGTCGTGGTTTTCCTTGAACTTGGAAGATAGAAACGCGCAAAGGGTCAGAGTCGTCAGCTTTGATAATATGCAATCCGTGCATCGCGAGAGATTTCAACGAGCGAACTGACACGCGTGCTACCGCGTGCCACTCGATTCTGAGCAACCTTTGTAATCAAAAAAAGCGATGACACTATTGATCACCAGATAAGCACTTTTGTTATCGTTTATCACGATGAACGTAGCATTCCCCACTGTATCTATGGAATTTACAGAGGAATTCGAATCCTTCACTGCTTACGTCACAATCGCTTTCCACGTGTACATTTATTCGTTTTTCTCTTACGAACGCGTTGCCCAAAAACGTTCGGACGACGTTCCCGACGTTTCCTCTGGACTAATCGTCGTTTTCCGGGAAAGAGCACGCGTGTGCATTTCATGTTCCGCCGACAGAGGATCGTACACGCGATTCGATTCATTGACGGGATTAATCGCAAGGCTACGCGTTCGCTGGTAAACAGTTCAGAATCCAATCGAAGCGTAAAACTATTTTATCTGAGGCTCAGTCTTATCTCGCGTTCGTTTATTTTCAAGCCTCGTTTATTAGCTAATATACCGAATTACTCTTTTCGATACGTACTTTAAATACCATTTGGAAAAGTACACTTGCGAGTCTAACAATCTTTCACGAATAAGCCGTGGCATTGCGATAGTACATGATCACGCATTCGAGAAATCACTGTACTCGTAATAACGCGATAATAAAATTGCGTATAACGTGTTATATATATTTCCTGACACCCGGTGAAGTGGTCGATTTCCAAATCGAAATATCCGTTCGGATGACGAAATCGAGGATCGCGTTCTCTCGAAAAGTACTCGTATCAAAGCTCGTCGTCGCGCGAACGAAATAAGCAGGTATTCGAGACGTACCTTGTGCGAGTAACGAGAAACACGACGAAAGCGGCTACACGATGTCGGCACACTCCATTAAGAGGTACTACTGCACTGCACACAAACCGCGACGTAAACCGTGTTTTTCATGTCCGACGTGACTAGAGAGGATCGTTGGAGCTCGGCACGACGAATAGAGGAAAGATCACTGGTTGGTATCCGCCGCGACGAAACGGGACACCGAAAAGAAACAGTGCGACTGTTTGTTCGAGAGGAATGCTTGGCCACTACGGCGGTGACCGGCACGTTAAACGCGTCCACTCGAAGAGCTTCGATTTGAATCGGGCGTGCCAGGTGGACTGAAAGGAGGTGGAAAAGTTGACTCGTACCACGACCGGCCTCGCGATGCTCGCGGTACCCCACTAGCAATCCGTTACCACTACCGATCGTTTCCCTGGATCGTCTTTTCAACTATCGAATACTTGGTTCCAGTCTAAAGGTCCCTGGTACCTCGATCCTTGATCCTTCCTTGATCCCAACGAAGATCGTGACGTCATGCAATTCGGATATGCGCGTACCTGAGCTACCTGTTGCGCGCCGATGCAATTTACAGAATCCAAGAACATAGATAAGGAATACGACCGAAAGACTCACAGGAGAAGAGAGAGTATCTCATCCTGTAGAAATATTTATGGAAATGCAATCATGTATATCTAAGAGATATCGTTAAATCTGAAATATGTATACATATATACTGTATTTCAAGTGGCAGATGTCACTTCAATCTACTTCCAGTTCCACTCGGTGGATATGATCATTTTTCATTTTATAATTTACGAGATACGTACGCATTAACTTTGTTTTCAATAAGATATCCAACTATTTAACATGACAAAACGAATTAGGAACAATGTTTTAATATCGTAATATTTTTATAAAAAAATCTTGTGGGACCCTTCCTAAAACTGATCGTTCTGTGCAACATTTGTAACACGAAACCTCCGACGTAAACACTCGCATAACCGAGGCTAGTGTTAAATGTAAAGAATTATTGTAATTATGAAAATATCGAAAATCTAAAAGCACTTATCGTCAGCTACAAAACTGAGGATACAAAATGAAGCTCGAATTATACAATGAGATAGTAGCAACGATTCGGAAATTTCGGGGTTTGTCAAAGGATTGTAGAGAAATTCTAAAAGAAAAGTATACCGGGTAAGATAATACTTTTATTAAATTCAATTACACCTTATTATCGAATCTATATAATTAGTATTATCCCATTCAGTATCCCAGTGAACACGTTGTACAGCATACTCTCTTTAGAGATACAACATAAAATGAAAATTAATCATTACAAGTTGTTTGGGAACAATAAGAATTATTATGATATGTAAGTATTCCTGTTTTATTCATTACAAAAATGTACCGATGCGTTGTTAAGTGATCCATGTATCAGTTATGTAAAAGCTGTTCAAAATGGTGAACCTGTTGGAATTTTATTAAAAATGGCTAAAGAGATTGGCGCACCGCCTGCACTGTTAGCTAGAAATGTGCTTGAGAAGCATTGCGGTAAAGATGACTCTAATGGTAAGACTCCGCAATGATCGTCTTAAAAATTCAGACATAAAAATCAGTGTGTTTTCAGTTTCCAGAAACGAAGTCAGCAAACTGTTCAAAGACACTACTCTCATACAGGACAAGGACCTTGCTTACGAAGTCTATTTGGTAATAACTGTATGAGTAATCAGTTAACAAAACTGTATAATAATTAAATGACATTTTGCAGTGTATTTTATATGACAATCTCTATGGACCTATAGCAGATGCCGTCGGGGTGTATGTATTACGTCCTTAAAGACCAAATAACTTCTAATACAAATCTTTATAAAATGAAACTTTCAGTTCTGTGGGTCAGGAATACGAATTGAAGATACAGAATTATTTGACCGAAAGAAAGCTCGCATTTCGAAATGAGGAACAATTAAGATCGAGGGGTTACGACAAAACTCCGGATTTCAAACTCGAAGTACCGATCGCAGTGAACGGGTTCGTGATTAACTGGATAGAATCGAAGGCGAGGTTTGGGAACATGGAAATACATCAGAAATATGTGAAAGAACAATTCTTGAGTTACTGGAATAGATTTGGCCCAGGGCTTGTGATATACTGGTTCGGATTCCTGGATAATCTCATTGAACCGAGCGAGAAGAGGTTTATTATCATGGATCATTTTCCAGAGATCATCACGTACATGGATCCTACTTGTATTAAACCTACGACTTTATGATCAGGACGAGAATCTATTATTTTGCAACGACATATAGTATTATAAGATTGATACTCATAGAATAAGAACTACGTATTGTTAAATAAAATACTTTATTTTATAATGTTCTTTGTGTTCTCTTTTTTCAAACTACCCCTAATCTGTACCACGTACTCTCCAATTTCTGACTTGAATCATCTATGTATAAGCGTAAACAATTGAGCTATAATTTCGTAAATAATGAACACAATTTCGTTTCATCCTCGCTACAGATTTTCCTAGTTTAAAAACGCGCGTACATTTAGTGAATCAATCAAATCTCCTAGATATAATAGAATGGCTAATGTAACGAGTAATTCAATGAACATTCAGTCTCAACTTGACAAAATGACGAAACAGGTGAATGTTTTACATTGTACTCGTAGCCTTAAAGGACGGTGATTATTAACTAAATGCAATTGAATTTCATCGTCTTTATAGGAAGAACATGAATTATGGATATTGGAAGAAGAGCTCTTCACGGAAAGTAGCAGTGATGAAGAATACAAAACGCATAGGAAAGGTAATACCACCGAGGAGATACTGATGCAAGTATGTAAAATGTAATCTCCGAAGACATTAATCTTACAGAAAACTTTGAAAATCAATCCGAAACTCCAAGAACGGAACGCCTCCCTAAAATAAAATCGGCTTCGCAGAGCTCAGATCGCTCGAACGAGAAAGAAAACAGGAAAATCTCGTGGAAAGCAGAAAGAGGTATCCTATCGTTATTTCTGAAATCTTTAGTTTCGTTGAATGAATTTGATAAAGTCCCTTAATTAGAAGTGTTATACGACAATGAGGAATTATTTGAGGACGAATGGCAAGACGACACGGATATCTCGAGCATTGATACAGAGGAACAGTGCCTAAAAAAGGAAATTTCCGAAGTGAAAAATCTTGATAACATTATACGCACGATGAATATCAGAGTAAAGGTAAACTGTTTCCTCGGACAAACTTCAGTTTTGATAGATGTACATTTACATTTGTCGCAGAGAGCGTGTGAAGAGACTTTGTTTCATCAGTACGAAAACCGAAAGCGACTCGAGCAAATTTTAGGCTCGAACCCATCCGAATCTGGCAAATTAGCCGAGAATACACAACAGTTCATTCAGCTATGCCCAAAATATACAAAGTTAAATGCAGGTATGCTAGCAAACGCAGAGAGGAGACTTGACATTTTTCTAATGTTTCTCGTTAAGATATTTACGAATGATTGAACAGAGCGCAGTGAAACTAGTGAATCGGACGTATCAATCGAAGGAAATGAATCTAAGAAAGATGAGAAAGAAAATGTTACGAATTCTTCAAGTAGTGATAGCGAAGTGAAGGATGATTGGGAATTTATTGATACCGATGATTGTGTTGAAAGTACGAATGATCCAGTGGAGGATTCTGATCCAAATCCATACATGCTGAGTGAAGAAATAAAAGAAATGTTCTCAGAAGTGGAGAAGGGCATAATTACGGTCGCACTGAATTTTATAGATAACATAGAAAGGCAGGCTCAAGTCAAAGATTAAATTATATTCAATTAAAAGAAATGAATATGATCAATATATTACGTACGGTGTATACAAAATATCTCTTTACAAAACAAATTTTTGTACATTGCAGAAAATGTACGCGAATGTAATCGACTGCAGTTGTGTATATATTCTAATAAAATATATAATACCTTACAACGTTGAAATCTCTTAACTTCTATCTGTACAATTAGTTCCTAATGTATGTACAATTGAGTCTCTATTAAATCTTATCTTTCTTCCTATTCTTATCTGATACCGTATATTTGTCATAACTCTTGGTCGGGTCGAAGGGTTCCCATCTACTGGCGGGAAATATATGTTTGTTCCTCTCGTACCACGATCTGCAATCAAATGTTATTAATTATTTATTGTACAAAAGAACATAATTATACAACATAATTATTGGTATCGAAGCATGAACGTACCTAAGCAATACCTTTCCAGCATGAGATTCTTCTGTCTCAACAGAAGCATCGTGCATGACACGAATATCATCGTGCACATCAAACGTAAAAAGGGGCCCGCTCTTTCCTCTTGCCTGAAAATAAAAGTCAGTTGAGAACTTAGAACTATAATTTTATAGACGTACATATTCTTTAATATCAAATTTACCTTTGTTACAATAAAGTCATAGAAGGTGTAATGATGCGGTAAAATGAGATCTTCCTTGACATACATCAACTGATCTGCCATAACTGTTTTCAGTTCGCTAAATTCGCGTCTTAGAACCTCTAGACATCGCTGGAGCAGTTGATAAATAGAATTACCTGCCGACAATGCAAAACTAATTACAATTAGTATTTAGTTGTTCCATTCTTCTAGAACAAATAGTATGACAAGCTGTAATAGTAATTAAACATGTACCTTTCTTCATAATCACGCTCCTCCTATGTCCAGACCCATCCCAATAACTGAAAGTTATTTCTATCTCTTCTTCTTTCAGGGCATTTTGTTTCCTAGCCCATTCTTGCCTCAGTTCCTCCCTTAATCTATTCTCTTCTTCCTCTCTTTCCCTGTCAGGTAAAAAGCTCGTGTCCACATCAGGATTTTTCTTTATTTTCTTGGCTACTGATCCAAGATCATTGTCTCTTGATCTCTCTTTTATTTCTACTTCTTCTTCAGTCTCAGAGAGTTCTACGTCGTCTTCATCTAAACTGAAAGACAAAGCTTGTATCTGTCTCTTTTGCTTATTCTTCTCAGCTTGCTTGGCAGCAAGGGCTCTCTCCTTCTCTTGTTCCTTTTCACGTTCTTTCTGTGCCAATTTCCTTTCGCGTTCTTTTACTATGTTCTCCTGTTTAGCTTTCATTTCATTCAGAGTCACCAGACCAATGGTGGACGTTTTTAACTGCTGCTCAACAGCATTGTAATGCGTTGCAAATTTGTTTTCTATGTTATGGATCTTCAAGTCATCTTCAATTTTCTTTTTCCTCAACTCTATTTCTTGTTGAGCAATTTCTCTCTTCTTCATTAACTGCATTGCCCTGCCAGCCTCGCTGGCTGCTCCCTTGTAGTGTGCCATGTCTTTTATTAATTGGCAAGCTTTTTAAACTGAAATTCAATTATTATAAATTACACCACGGGAAATTGTAAGAAAGTATAACGAAATCTTTATAACAATTAGAAGAGGAGATCTTCGTATACCAACCTCAACAGAATTCGACAGCTGATCGATAAGAGGAAATGACCAACTTTCCGTGCGAATCTATTTATCACAAGTTCACAAATAATAACGCACTCAACAGGTGACTAATGTTTTTTACGAATTTCGTTAAGAAAAATAAAAAACAATCATCAGATCACAATACAATTCCGAATACACATCCAGTGTACGCACGAAACACAATAGACTCCTGTAGAGACTGAAGTCTGACCCAACCAAACCCAACGCTATTATGTCCATTCAGTGTTGGCCGGTTATTCGGGGGATATTTGTAACTAGACGTCTAAAAGCAGTTCTAAAAGACATGCGCTAATGACGTCACAGCTAGAGATGTCGTGTAATCGCAATCCCGTGTATAATGTTTAATTTCGGATGGAATTGGGCGCTAAAAGGAATCTGTATGACACACGTAAATTGATTTAAATTCAGGGCAACTGCACTTGACGAGCCAAATAGGTACGATCGACCGGCACTTGATTGGTGCCGGCAGAAGCACTCTCGTTTCTCCTCTGCTTGTAAGAATAGGAGCACTACTAAATGGAAAGTGGTAGACGCAGGTAGACGTGCAATGGAGAGGATAGGCACGACAAAGAACTCACGTTCATGATGTGAAGAAAGGAAATTTCGAAATATTTGAAACTCGAATAATGAGTACATATGTAATAAGAATTCATTTATTTCTTGTTCCCTTTCATGAACATACAATCGTGATAAAAAGCCGAAGGCCCCTCCTCGGTAGTCGCGGGCAGAAAACAATCGCGATAAATGTGGATGATATTTCACTCGAACAACGTTTCTAGTTACATGTTTATTCAACCTTTTATATTACAATAACATTCGATACCTTTGAACTGTAACATTACGAAAGAATTTAATGGCATTATCAGTAGTGGTGCATTATAGATAGTCCAGTGTTACAATTACCGACATTTCGTGACAAATAAGGTTTCACTACGCTTAAATACGTCGCGACAGAATGTCCTCCATATATTCGGTTTCATTCAAATTACAAACGAACAGAGATTTTGAAAGCAACATATGAATAAAACTTACGAACATTGTTCCTACCACGCCTCAGATTCTCTTCTACAGGTCATTTAGGATTGCATAAAGAATCATGTATGATAATCCTACATATGCATAAGTGTCAGTGAGAGATTAGAATAAGGTGGAAAGTTATACTAATATAAATATACACCATGAACAGAAACGGTCGACTTATGCTGATTCGAAGGTAACATCGTACGTCAGCTGTTATTATTGTTGAACTGGCGGAGCCATGGGAAGACTCGAGGCATTTACATTAGACATAGCTTTGCTAGGTCCCAATAAAACCTGTTTCTGTTGTGAACGTTGCGCTTCTTCCATTTGTACCCGCTCTATTTCGAATAATATAGGTGCGAATAAGATAGCCGATGAGCTGAAGAACAACCATGCTGCCGAACATGAAAATGCATATAATCCTGTAAAACGAACACAGATTTGAAACATTCGTTTCCGAGTGAACGAATTTGTCACGATAACTTAACGAACAGACCTTTCATACAATTGCACAAGCAGGTACTGACGTTGTATCCCAAATTACGTACTTCCTCGGGAAACATTTCCGTGAGGCCCAATAATCTCTCTGATAAGCTCTCATCCTAAAAGCAAACTCAAACAGTTCTTTATCTTCCCTGCGTTAAAGTTTATCAATACCTTTCTTTCCGACGGTATGTCGTAACAATGAGCTACACGAAACGTTGGTTAGCGAATGTTAAATTTTAATTAAAGCTCGCGGAATGAATGATTCTTTACAAAGGGGAGAGTCGATCGTTGATCAAAGATTCCCGTAATTATGTGCGTGAATGGAATACCTCTTCGTCATCCTCGTCGTCGGGGAGAAGCGATTTCACCTCGGGAGAATGTGCGTCGCTACTACCCATGCCGCTATCCGATTGATCTACTTCCTCGACTGAAGTCATAAGGAAAAAACAAGCGACGATTGAGAAACGAATGAACAAACATGCTCCACATGCTCTACTTATCGCGTATCAGATTCGAAGATTCACCTTCTTCTACCCTGGACATTGTACCCTAGGATAAATATTATTTGTGGCGATTCACGCCGGTGCGAAAGTAGACACGGTGCAACTACTCCGTGGACCTCGCTGTGTGGTCTGCTGTGTTCGTCGTCTTTCTCAGTCTTTCTGAATGCTCCCAGCGCCGGCGCATGTTCACGAGGATCAGTAAAATGTTCCTAGATCATTTTCGAATTTCCATAAGTATTCCATGAGTATTCCTACCTCGAACGATATATTATAATTGCGTTATAAGCATAAGTATTTCAAACGATGATTTCATGAATGCCGAGGAAACCGGCGGAGATGAACAAATTTGTGAAAATGCTATCTCCGCTGTGGTTCGGTGCAAGTTAAATTCAACTTCCTACACCATTACATTACGCAGGTATTCATATTTATCTAGCTCGGAATGGATGTCATTGCATGTTTCCGATAATATTTCGCTTATCTCTTTTCCTTATCGAGCTAATGTACAATTGTACTCGCGGGTAAAACGCACTCGTAGCGTCTTTTAAACGGCCTTTGCATAGTTAAAAAATTCGACGGAAACTGTAAACGTGTCGACAAGTGCAATAAGTGCATAAGTGTCGAGTACTTGTAGAGGTTCAAAAGATTGTGATTCTTGAAGCATGATAATAAAATGGTAAAAAGACAGTATGTATAACGATAATTACTTTAGACTTCGTTTGTTCCGCTTATTGCATTAACCCGTGTAAGCACAAGTAGCTACTCTGTGCTTATTCTTTTGTGTTTTTCTGTAACAAACAAGATTTTTGTATTACAGATGGATTTCTAAGACTTAAACGTGATCAACGTTGGATTTATAGAACAAGGAAAAAGTTTTTGATAATCTGAACGAAATGGCGAATACAGGAGTACTGCCATTCGTACGAGGAGTTGATTTTAGCAGCAACGACTTCGGCGTATGTTCGAGGATTTCTTTTTATTTGAAACGAATAACTATAAGCATTTTCAGCATCATATTTTTGTAGGATGGCAAATTTCCGGAATCTGTACGTTTAATGACTGGTATTCAATGGCTGAAATTGAATCAAACCAACCTGACGGAGATCCCGGAAGAAATGGGCAAACTATTGAAGCTGGTAAAGCTTTCTGCGTACGGACAGTAGTATTTTTTAATCACGAACCAAATTCAGGATGAAGTGACTGAGGTTCCTATTGATAGGTCAATGGAGTTTAAATGTTAGAATTAATCTTCCTGTTTCTAAAATTCAGGAATCTTTATCCTTGGTCAAGAATAAGCTAGAACGGCTGTATGGAGAATTGACGGAGCTCAGCTGTCTTAGAACTCTGAATATAAGGAAGAATAATATCAAATCCAGTGGTATTCCGGCAGAATTGTTTCACTTGGAAGAATTGACAACCTTGGATCTAAGTCACAATAACTTGAAGGAAGTACCTGAAGGACTGGAGAGGGCCAGATCTTTGTTAAATCTAAATTTGAGCCACAACCAGTGAGTGTCACATGGAGATATTACGAGAGACGATTAGAAATGGTTATACTGTTGGAATCCTTTCAGCATCGATGCTATTCCCAACACGCTATTTATTCATCTGACTGATTTGCTGTTCCTGGATCTTAGTAATAATAAATTAGAAACACTGCCACCGCAAACTCGCCGTCTAGCAAATTTACAGACACTGAATTTAAATCATAATCCACTGGGCCACTTTCAATTAAGGTATAAAATTATCATTAGTAAAATATCACTATTGTCTCTGACAGTCTTTTCTCAATTCAGGCAACTACCGTCCCTGATGAATTTAACTACTCTTCAAATGCGCGACACGCAACGAACATTGAACAATATCCCTTCGAGTTTAGAAACACTGACGAATTTGCAGGAACTCGATTTGTCGCAAAACAATTTACCTCGAGTTCCGGACGCACTTTACTCTCTATTGAACTTGCGTCGTTTAAATTTGAGTGACAATCAAATAACGGAACTATCAACGGCGATCGAGTTATGGATCAAATTGGAAACTTTAAATTTAAGCCGTAATAAACTGTCCGCGATCCCTGCCTCCTTATGTAAAATCGTCACTCTCAGGCGATTATACTTAAACGATAATCTACTAGATTTCGAAGGTATTCCATCAGGAATCGGGAAATTGTCATCGTTGCAAGTATTCTCGGCAGCGAACAATCTTTTGGAAATGATACCTGAGGGTTTGTGCAGATGCGGATCGTTAAAGAAATTAATATTGTCCTCGAATCGATTGATCACGGTTCCGGACGCTATTCACCTCCTTACTGATTTGGATCAGTTGGATTTAAGGGATAATCCAAACTTAGTGATGCCACCAAAACCGACGGAGGTACAAAAGGGTTCCGGTATAGAGTTTTACAATATCGATTTCTCCCTGCAACATCAGTTGAGACTCGCTGGTGCCAATGTACCTACACCGACGCAGAATGCTGGTAGCAAGGATCCGATAGCTCGGAAAATGAGACTCAGAAGGAGGCGAGATCAAGAGGAAGCTGATCAGGACCAGGCAAAAATATTAAAAGGGATGAAAGATATAGCCAAAGATAAGAACAAGGATAAAGAATGCGAGGAATCTAAAGCGGAGTCGTTGAAGCCGAAACGATGGGATGAAACCCTAGAAAAACCACCATTGGATTACTCGGAATTCTTCGATGAAGATGCCGGCCAGGTTCCTGGATTGTCGGTATGGGAAATCGAGAATTTCCTACCGAACGAGATAGAAGAAGTGGCGCACGGGAAATTTTACGAAGGCGACTGTTACATCATTTTAAAAACCGAAGTCGATGAATCCGGATCGTTGCTCTGGGCGATTTACTTTTGGATCGGAGAGAAAGCTACATTGGACAAAAGAGCTTGCGCCGCGATTCACGCTGTGAATCTGCGTAACTACTTGGGCGCACAGTGTCGCACGATCCGGGAAGAACAAGGCGAGGAATCGGATGAATTTTTAATGTTGTTCGAGTCTGGCATTACGTATATCGAAGGAGGTCGCACGGCCTCTGGCTTTTACACGGTCGAAGACACGCCGGTGGTAACGCGATTGTATAGAGTGCACGCCGCCGGTGCGTCGATTCATTTGGAACCAGTTCCCGTCTGTTTCGAATCCCTCGATGCGGGATTCGTATTCGTCCTCGATACAAACAGTAAAATATTCATATGGTACGGGAAGAAAGCGAAGAGCACGTTGAAATCGAAAGCGAGATTAATGGCTGAGAAGATCAACAAGAACGAGAGGAAGAATAAAGCAGAGATCCTGACAGAAATTATGGGCACGGAGTCCGACGATTTTCTATCGTATTTAAACGTCACTGATATCTCAGATCGTCCAACAATCGTCGAGCACGTGGATCCAGACTTTGCACCACCCGCGGCTCGTTTATATCAAGTGCAACTCGGCATGGGTTATTTGGAATTACCGCAGATCGAAGTGCCGCATGGAAAATTGTCTAATACACTTTTAAACAATCGCAACGTTTATATATTGGACTGCCACGTAGACGTTTACGTCTGGTTTGGGAAGAAATCTACGAGACTGGTACGTGCAGCGGCTGTTAAGCTTTCCCAAGAATTGTTTAACATGATAGATCGGCCGGAGTACGCGTTGGTAACTAGATTGCAAGAAGGGACCGAGTCGCAGATTTTCAAATCGAAGTTCGCCGGATGGGACGAAGTTATAGCGGTCGATTTTACTCGAACTGCAGAGTCTGTTGCTAAAACTGGCGCGGACCTTACGAAATGGGCGAAACAACAAGAGACTAAGGCGGATCTAGCTGCGTTGTTCATGCCTAGACAACCGCCTATGTCGTTCACAGAGGCTCAGCAACTGATGTCGGAATGGAACGATGATTTGGAAGGGATGGAAGCGTTGGTCTTGGAAGGGAAGAAGTTTGTGCGTTTACCGGAGGAAGAACTGGGACATTTCTATAGCGGTGATTGTTATGTGTTTTTGTGCCGTTACTGGATGGTACGTGATGATTTCTTTATTTCTTGTTTCTTGTTCCCACTCGATATTAAAGAGAAATGGAAGATGTTCACTTTTTCACTATTGATCGTCTTAGCCATTGGATACTGCAGAAAACGAGGACGGCGACGAGCAATTCGAAGAGGATTACCAATGCACAGTATACTTCTGGCAAGGCAGAGATGCAGGGAACATGGGATGGTTGACGTTTACATTTAGGTGTGTGGAAATAAACAAAGTTCAATATTCTTGTACCTTAATTAAACAACGATCTACTTTTAGCTTGCAGAAGAAATTTAAATCGCTGTTCGGCGAGAACTTGGAAGTAGTCAGAACTCATCAGCAACAAGAAAACTTAAAGTTCTTATCGTATTTTAAAAGAAAGTTCATTATCCATCATGGTAAGCGTAAAGAACCTAAGACTAGTGGTAGTAACAAGGTCGAGTTTTATCATTTAAGGAGTAATGGAAGCGCGTTATGTACCAGACTGATACAAATACCGGCAGATTCAACATTACTGAACTCCGCATTTTGGTAAGTTATCCAGTCGCAATCATACTTTTCCATTTTCAATCGTGTATCTTACTCTGTAGTTATATTTTAAACGTGCCATTCAATAACGACGATGAGACTGGAATAGTGTACGCATGGATCGGCTCGAAAGCTGACAACGACGAAGTGCGTTTAATCCAAGAGATCGCTGAGGAAATGTTTAACAACGTACGTATTTAACTTCTTACTGTTTAATGATCGATGCTTTAATTCTATCGTAACAATTTCAGCCATGGATAAGTCTCCAAGTTTTGAACGAAGGTGAGGAACCGGACAATTTCTTCTGGGTAGCTCTCGGTGGAAAGAAACCGTACGATACCGATGCGGAATACATGAATTACACCAGATTGTTCCGATGTTCGAACGAGAAAGGGTATTTCACTATCAGTGAGAAGTGCACCGACTTTTGTCAGGTATACGACTTCATCAATTGATTTTATTATTGAATCAATTGTTTAACTAATGATTTTTTAGGATGATTTGGCGGACGATGATATTATGATCTTGGATAACGGCGAACAAGTATTTTTATGGCTGGGAAGCCGTTGCTCGGAAGTAGAAATCAAATTGGCATTTAAGTCTGCTCAGGTAGATGCTAACTAACGAAAATGATACAGCGTAATTTTCATATAAAATCAAATCTCCTTTCCTCGATGTTTTAGGTATATATTCAACACTTGCGTGTGAAACAACCAGACAAACCGCGTAAGCTGTTTTTAACTGCGAAGGGAAAAGAATCGCGAAGATTCACCAAATGTTTTCATGGCTGGAGTTCGCATAAGAGACCACCGCAATAAAATAAACGATTTGATTCGATCAGTTTTATTTTTACTGTTTCGATACCGTTCGTTTGCTGCACATGCACAAACGCGATGTTTCTTCTTCTGTTACATTTATTTTTTAATTTATTAAAGCATTATTTTACAAGGTATAGATATATGTGCGTCTGTCTGTATATTAGGCTCTGTGTTATATACAATTCCTATGCGCGATTTCAACAGATATGTTTACATGTATACATATATATGTACATAGATGCGTAAATTATTTTCAGAAAAAATGTTTGTCGAACGTTACGAAAATTGATTTTCACTTTCGTGTAAATAAAACTGAAGAAAAACGAGAATTCCCATGATTAACTTAATGTATCAAAGTGGAAAATGTATGTATATATATATAAATAAGAAAGGAATGATTTTACAGCACAGAATTTTATCAGTTGTCGAACGCGGAAATGAATGACCTGCACGAGAAATAAATTGAACAGGACTAGCTTGGACTTTTCTTATAATACTTAGAGATTAATCATCGTCGTCGTCGTCGTCGTCATCCGAGGGTACGAAGAGTTCTTTTTCCTCGAGGTAATTAGCCATCATTTTACTGAGAGTAGTCCCAATGACTAGACCCGTCATGACGCTGCAGATGACACCCAACCAACTGAGACGCGCCCTCCTCGGCTCCGGCAGAATCGCACCCGAGGGTGTTGTCGTTCTTGCTCGGCAAGGTAATCTACTGTCCCCATTCATTTTTCTTAAACTGTCAGTACTATGAAATAGAGTGAACGTACGCTGCAATACCATTTTTGTTCGTACGTCAAATACAACTTAACGATACTTTAAGAAATACTCTAGAAGATGATGAAAACGTGTTATTATAGTTCGTTCTCCAAGGAATTCGTAACCGATGCCCGCTTAATAATTTTAGACCTGCCCGATACAGGTTTCTCACTTTCACTCCACGTTTAAATAACGAATAAAGCCAACAACCGGCGATTCACGTACATTCTGAGAATCCATACACGGAGCTTATTAAGCGGACAATATATGCACATATACGTGTACTTACGTAGATTACAAAAGTTATTTTTGGCTCCGAGCGGTTAAACTTAAATTTTAGCAAGTACCGTGAGAAGCAGATAGAACACGCACACTGTACTTCGAATAACCAGTGTCAACACGGTTTGATCTCGATAATATTCGAGAACTGTCACAGTAGGAGTGCTGTCGGAGAGCAGCTGTTCGATTTCACTGTATTTTCACAATACGCATGCGAAACGATTCGCAAGGAATTCGGTGGTGCTCGAATATGCGTGAAAAATGACAGCACCTCCAAGTTCGTACATATACGCGTACAGTTCGTTCGGGATTGTTCGGGACTCGTGTTTCAACTCCAACTTCTCTCTAACCCGGCCGACGATAACCATCTTATAGATCGTGACTCGTAAGGCGGGTAAGGCGAGCCAAAACTGATCGTTTGTGTAAACGTTTACGGTTTATATTTAAAACATTTTAATCTTGTGGTTTTACGTGTAAGGAGAGTGTAAGATACGTAATGTTACACGTGATAGGACTGGGCCTCGGTGATGCGAAAGATATCACCGTGAAAGGCCTGGAAACTATTAAACAATGTAACCGCGTGTATTTAGAATCGTATACGTCGATCTTGTCCGTGAATTTAAAGGATTTGGTAAGTAAACTGAGACGAAGGAGGGCACGAGTGCGTACATACACGAACGTGTTGTACTCGCTCGTTCGAAAACATGTAGGAAACGACGTGTTTCAACGAATTAGGAACAATTTTACGGATGCCCGATAATGGAAGCCGACAGGGAATTAGTTGAAAGCAACGTGGACGAAATACTGCCGAAGGAGAATGAGAACGTTGCCTTTCTGGTAGTCGGTGACCCACTCGGCGCTACCACCCATACGGATTTGATACTGCGAGCTCGCGAGAAGAACGTAAACGTAAATAACGAGAATCGTTGATGATCTATCGAGGAAAGACAATGGTCTGATAGAAATTGTTATTCAGGTAAAGATTGTTCATAACTCTTCTATCCTGACTGCGATTGGGTGCTGCGGTTTGCAATTGTATCGCTTCGGGGAGACCGTGTCTATCCCATATTGGAACAAAGACTGGAGGCCCACCAGCTTTTATGAAAGAATCGTCTCAAACAGACAGAGAGATCTTCACACCCTCTGCTTGTTGGACATTAAAGTGAAGGAGCCGACTATAGAAAGTATTGTTAAAAAGAAGAGAGAGTACATGCCTCCACAATTTATGAGCGTCTCCGAAGCAGCTGTTCAGTTACTGCAAATCATTGAAGACAGAAAAGAAACGCAAGTACCAGGAGGTAAAACACGAAGAAGAAAGTTTTATACTTTACTGAATTTTTATGTACGATACAAATGAACGACTTTTATTTTACAGCACTCAACGAATCGAGTCTTGCAGTAGGTTTAGCTCGCGTAGGCTGGGACAATCAAAGTATTGAGGTTTGCACTCTGGAAGAAATGGCTCGTACAGAGTTAGGACCTCCTCTTCACTGCCTGATCATTCCGAGCATCAACTTGCATCCCATCGAATCAGCATTGATCAATTTATACAAAAATAAAGAATAAACGCTGCTGCGTCGAACCTACACCAGTCTCTCTCTATTTCCCACCTTGCATGCACCAATTAAAATTAAGGATGTATTGGCTATACAGTTAATTCCAAAAGTTTATGTACCT